ATCAGACAACTAATGTTCAATGACAACTAATAAGGGTAGTAGGGAAATTCCCTACTACCCTTAATTGGACTTTGTGTGCAATTAATTAGAAATTCTCAATGACTAAATTTCACATTTAGCAGTCAATAATGAGTGTGATCTCTTTTATACAAAAGAGCAAATAGCTTTATTATTGTGAGCTCTATGGCTTAGAACTACCAGACAACTAATGTTCAATGACAACTAAAAAGGGTAGTAGGGTATTTCTTTGCTACCCTTAATTGGACTTTGTGGGTAATTAATGAGAAATCCCCAACCACCTGATTTCACATTTAGTCGTTAATAATGAGTGTGACTTCCTTTATACCAAAAGTAAATAGTCTTATTATCGTGAGCTCGATGGGCTAAAACTATATGATAACTAATGTCAATCGACAACTAATTAGTGTGGCAAGGTGTTTCGATCACTATTTTTATACTTTTGGTGCAGTTGAGTCAAGGCCATTTCTCTTCCAAAAAATTAGGTCAAAAAGATTTATGGAAAAACTAAAAATAAAACAGTTTGCATGCACCATCCCAATCCTGATTTAAGAGTAGGGTGGCAACGGGTCAAGTCGGGACCCGAACCCGAAAAATGATATGAGACACAGACTCGGACCCAGGCCCGAAAATATAGTGTGGTACCCGAAGCCGACCCAAAAATTAAAATGTTTATGTATAACTATATTAAAATATATTTTATATATGGAAAAAGCTTATATAAGATTGCAACCTTAAAATGTAGAATCATAGATGCACCTCAAAATATCCATCGGAAAAGGTTGTTTTGATGTGGAAAATATCTCTAATTAATCAACTCGACATCGGGATGTATGAATATGAAAGGAAAAAAAAAATTGGAGTCCCAGAAATTGTGCATCTTGCAATACATTATCTAGACCGTCAATTTTCAATATTTTCATATGTTTATAGATCTGCTTGATTTTAACCATTTTTGGAGTTTAAAATTTTATAATTAGATATGAAAATAGATTTTGAGATATAAAAATACATATTATGATAAATTTTGGAGTTGCGCTTTATTCGGATTATTTAAGGTTGCAACCTTGTAGAAGCCGCACCCTTATATATTGGGATTCAAAAAATATTATTGAACTCAGATCCGAACTCGGACCCAACTTACCCAGACCCAAATAGTATTTGGATCCAAGATTTGGACCCGGACCCAACCCGTTGTGTCTAATTTTTTGATCCATTGCTACCCCTATTTAGGAGATTGAATCTCAGCCACAAGTGTTTGCCTTTATGAGGGCATGTTAAATAACTACATACAACATCCTTTCCCCTCTGCCCAAATAAAACAAAAACATACATACACACCAAAAAAAAAAAAAAACCACACATATATTGACAGTGTTACTGTTAGCCATAAGATGCAAAACTAGACCACTGGAAGTATGTCATAATTTGTCATCAACATCTATAAAATGTTTTTTTTAATGATATGACACACCCTTAGCTACCCAATTCCATGCAAGATGAAGTTTCTATAAGACCAACGTTTTATGAAAACAAAATAAAGTCACACCTCAAATCCTCATTCAGAAAGCACTTTTGGCAATGGAAATCTTCACTATGGATCTAAAATCAATTTTCAACATCGACAATAAAATTTAAACTAAAAAAACATTATAGATCTTACGGATCTATTACCACTAATGGATAGTCTAGATAATTTGTTACAATATACATTGTTTTTCAGACCTTAAAGTCTTGATTGTTTTTCACAACCACAATGTTCAAGCTGAGATGATATGTGTAAAGGTTTTTCACTGTTCTGAATTGTAATTTTTTATAAGTTATAAGGTGATGCTTTACTTATTTTGATAGGGTTGTAGCCCTCGCAAACCATTTTCCTTTCATGTATGACAACGTGTGGTAGTAGTGACCTTACATAAAAAAAGTGCGTCTTAAAGCATTTGGATCAAAAGGGCACGCTTGTTATGCTTCCCCTGCTGCATAAAAATTATATACTTCCCCCTATCCAACCTTTTATTTTAAATGGATGGCTGAAATGGCTCCAGTTACAATGTCACATCTCTACACTATTTTATTTCTAGTTTTTTTCTACAAATTATTTTGACACCAAATCTCGAGCGTCCACTCCTCTTTGATACTCGCACTTGAAAAAAATATAAAAAATATTTCCAACAAAATAAAATAACCAAAATACAACTTAAAGTTTCAAAAGATATTTTGGTTATTTTATTTTATCGAAAAAATATTTTTAATATTTTTTTTAGGTACACCCCATTGAAAAGATGACATATACCAAATTTCACTTTCATACAATTTGTAAAAAAAAAAACTATAAATAAAATTCTTTGAGATGTCAGATCATAGATCAGTGGCTCACTTGATCTAAATTGGACGGTTGGATGGGGGGGGAGGAAATATATATCTTCTATACTATAGTATAATTAGAAGTGAAACTAGATAGGTATTTGAGCTGGTCACCGAACTAGACGGGTGTTTGAGCCGGTTTAGTCAGGTGCCAGATCATTATAAATTGCACTAAAAATTTTGTTATTCTCAAAAGATCCATATTTTTGTAAAATCTAATTAGTTTATATCTAGTTGCTACCATGCCGTTTTAGTCAGGGGCAAGCTTTGTATGCTTCCCCTACAACATACAAGTTATATCCTCCCCCTTATCCAATTGTCCATTTTGAATGGAGGGTTAAGATTGCCCCAATCACAATGCCACGTCTGTAGACTATTTTATTTTCAATTTTTTTCTATAAAGTATTTTGACACCAAAATTTGGATGTCGATTCCTCTATTAAACTCGCACTACAAAAAAATATAATTTTTTTTTTTCAATAAAATTAAATGACCAAAATACCCCTGAAATTTTAAAGGGGTAATTTGGTCATTATATTTAATCAAAAAAATATTTCTAATATTTTTTATAAGTGCGCCCCAATGAAAAGATGACACGTACCAAATTTCATATTCATACAATTTGTATAAAAAAACCTAAAAATAAAATACTTTGAGACTTCAGATCTAAGATCAAACGGTGAGTGTTTATCTTGATCAAAATTGGACGGTTGGATAGTAGGGGGAGGATAGAACTTCTATGCTATAGGGGAAGCATAGAAACCGTTCCCTTTAGTTTGGATATGAGAAAAAAAAGATTTTCATAAATAGTGCATATCGAAACCCTTCCCAATCTGTAGCAAAATGTTGTTTTACTATAGCAAATCATCGATTCCTTTATAGACTCGGCCAATTTTCTATATACATGCAAAACCAAAACGGGGTGACCGATCCCTAGGTCGGACCGGAAAATTCCGTGCCAACTCAATGTTTTTTAAATTACTGGTTTGAACTTTAAACCCTTGATCTCCCTTACCAAAAAGCAATATCAAAATAGTGGAACTTTAGCCTTGTGGGATCACCTCTAACTAAAGGGAAGGATTTCTATGCTTCCCCTATATCATAGAAGTCCTATCTTTTTTTTCTCATTTTCGAGATGTAGGAATATGAGAAAAAAAAGATTTTGAGTCCTATAAATAGTGCATATCACAACACATTATCTATAGACCATCCATTTTCAAAATTTTGATATGTTTATAGATCTGCTTGATTTGAACTCTTTTTGGAGTTTAAAATTTTACAACTAGATATGAAAATAGATTTTCATATAATCCGAAATAAATTTTACAGAAAAATTATATGTTATGATAAAATTTGGAGGTGCGCATTAATTGGATTGTTTAAGGTTGCGACTTCATAGAAACCATACCCTTTAAATAATCATGTATGTATTTAATATAAGGAAAAGTTTATATAAGGTTGCAACCTTAAAATGTAGAATTGCAGATGCACATAAAAAATCCATTGGTAAAGGTTGTTTTAATGTTGAAATACCCTCTAATTGATCGTTTTGACATCGAAAGGTATGACTATGAAAGAAAAAAAGGATTTTGAGCACCATAAATGGTGCATCTTACAACATATTATCTAGACCGTCCATTTTCAATATTTTCATATGCCTATAGATCTACTTGATTTTAATTACTTTTGGAGTTTAAAATTTTATATTAGATTTGAAAATAGATTTTGAGATAATCTTAAAAATATTTTACAGCAAAATTATATGTTATGATAAAATTTGAAGGTGCACCTTAAATAGATTGTTTAAGGTTGAACCTTATGGAAACCACATCCTTTGACATAATATTTATATAGGGAAAATATCTTATTATTCTCTATTTTTAATTTAGATATCTCATCGTACCCAAGAATTGAAAATATTACTCGTAAGCAATAGGACTCCATTTTTTGTATCTTCCAATCCTCTAAACCCTTTTGACCATGTATTATTGACCTCAACAACTTATAAAATGACTCTATTTCTATCTATTTAAAACTCCATCTCTCTCACATAATCGTCTCTCTCTCAAAACTCAATCTCTCTCTCACACCATCATTTATCTCTCTCAAAATAACATCTCTCTCCCTAAAACTCAAACTCCATTTCTCTCTCTCACATAAGAAGGTGTGCTCGTGTATGTGCTCAAGCTAAATCCCTTGGCTGGTAAACTCATCGAGAATAAGAAAGTGTGCTCGTGTTCGAGCTAAAGCTAAATCCCTTGGTTGGTAAACTTATCGAGAAGCGTAGAGAAAGAGATGGAGTTTGAATATGGTGTCATTTTAGTATTTATTTGAATAAAAAATTTATGGTAAAAAAGGTGCAAGGGTTGTAAAATAGAAAAGATGAAGTATTTTTGCTTACGAGTAACACTTTAAATTCTTGAGTCATGGGATATGGAAGTTAAAAATAAGAGATAAGAAGACATTTTTCCATTTATATATTATTTTTCCATTTATATATTATATTAATTGGCATCGTCGGTGTCCGGGCCGGGTCTACGGGCACTAGAGCCAGAGAATGACAAGTCCGGGCCTTTTCCAGCTCTTGTCAAACATTCCGAATGTTTTCATGTCTTTAACATTGCCCTCTCCTGTTCTCCCTCTTACGCGCCTCTGTTCTCATCTGCTTTGCGCAAGCCAAGGTCTGTTCGCGCCGCGCACCCTTCCCTCGTATAACAGGTACTTTCTCATCCCTCTCTCTCTGTCTATCTCTCGCATCCCCGACCTCATCTCTCTAGAGCTCTCACACCACTGCTCTCTCTCTCTCTGCAAATACCTCTACCCCAAATCTTTCTATCTCTATCTCTCTTAGTCAATGGGTAAAAGCCATTTCATAGCTCCCTCTCTCTCTCTCTCTCTCTCTCTCTCGAGCTAGGCAGCACAGGGGAGCTTGGGTCTGGCCACGCATCTCTCTCTCTCCATGAAGGAAGAGAGAGATAAGGCTTGGGGCGTGACATTTTTGGTCACTTATTTATGCAGGGTTTTTATATATGGTTCTTTTACTGGTTTCCCTCGCTCTTTATTTTTTTCCTTTTTGCCTAATTTTATTTTGCTTCTTGCAATTGTGAATGTAATTGTGTTAACCTATTAATGTATGTTATGGGTTCTTGTTACCTTTTTTTTTTTATTAGCTATTTTCTCTGTTTTATTTTTTTATCCTGTAATGTTTTCTAATTTTATTTGGGTTTCAATTCCAGAAACGTGTAGAACTTGTGCTATTTTGGCTTCTGATATTGACCAGAACTAGAGAATGATAAGGGATTTTAATGGATGAAGGACTTTCAGGGGTTTTTTAATTGAGATGGAGGAAATTCAGATTATGCATATTTAATAATTATTTAAAAAATTATAGCACTATTGGATGTCCATTCTGAAACTGCAGAGTTTTATATGTGAATTCAAGGGCACGTTCAGTAAGCCAGATGATCAGTGTTTCTTATTTTTTAAGAATAACCGGAAAGGTAGATTTTTAAACTAATATTTCTATAAATCTTTGTTGGTTTTCCCCTATTTATTGGGCTGATTTTTTTCTGAAACTCTTAGATGTTTATCATTCCAGTAAAACTACTTTTCTCATTCCTTCTTCAGTTTTTTCTCTCTAGATGTTGCAATATAAAACTTTTTCTTTTTTAGGTGTTTGGGATGAAATTCCTAAATTTACATGAACTTTGTTGTAATTTGAACTAGTTGCTTATTCCTATATTTCTATTTGTTGAAACTGTCGAAGAAGTTTATTTTATTGCGAGCTGTTGGCTTATCTTGTCAGATTACTTTGTAGATTTGAAATACTCCCATCAAAACTCAATGGAACAATTAGAATATTTTGAGTTTTTGGTTGTCAAAGTTCACAAAAGAATTTCTTATTTTCAGAGTTTTTAAAATGATTGTCCTTCTTTCTTATGGATGATTTATGGGATTCTTAGCAGAATGGTGATACACTACCCTTTAATTTTAGAAGACCTCCCCATGAGTCTTAATGGATTTTTCGAAGTTTCATGAAGTATTTAAGTTCTATGAGAATTAGAATATTGAGGGCTGTCTAACCATTGAAATATGACATTCGTACGCTTTTTCTTCTTTTTTTGCCTTCTTTCCTTTATCATCTCTGTGTGTGTGTGGTGATAGTATGTATTAGTGCTTTTTGTTAAGTATTTGGATAAAATATTTCATTTTGTCTTCTTATTTTGATTGATCTCTTCCTTTTTCTTTTTCTTTCATGTGTAGGACTTTTGGATTTTTCAGCTACCTAGTTTTTCTTTTTCTCTCTATCATCTTCTCTTGATCTTTTGTTTTCACCTATCATATTGGGTATGGGGTATCAAACAGAGAGTTTGAGAGACTTTCTCAGGCAAATAAGCATTGGTACAATTGTTTTTCTCTCTTAAATTACTATTTAAACTTATCCAATCCAATCCCCTGCGTTTGTTCTTGTCTCATTCTTGTTCTCTTATCTCTTCAAAAATCTTTGTTGTTTCCTGTTCTCTTATCTCTTTAATTTTTGGTATTAGCTTCATCTAGCATTCGAAGATTCACTTATGATAACTTCGATCTATATTCCCATGCCCCTCATATGACACCTCCAAAGGCTCAGAACCCGATCTTATTTGATGCATGAGCTTCGAAGATGTGGTTACAATCTGGTTACCTGGAACTTACAAAGTCCGCATAATGGAGCATTGATCTTTTTGGAAAATCGGATCTCAGACTCCAATTGATGTTAACCAGAGAAACCACAAAGCAAAACACAAATCAAGGTTCAAGTTTGATTATATTAGAAAGAGTTCGGGAACTAGGTCCTTTATAAGCAACCTATTGATTTCCAATCTCCTATAGTTTGGCAGGGGATGCATACCCGATTGACACTCCAATGTTCAAATTAAAGAAGTTATCTTTATTTCGCTAAATATATGCATAGAGTTGCTCTAGTTGAATTACTATGTTGGTGTAATTGGAACTTGTCTTTATATCTCTAAATATATGCATAGAGTTGCTCTAGTTGAATTACTATGTTGGTGTAATTGGAACGAGCTTGTCGATGATATAAACAAAAGAACTGGCTCGTTTCTGCCCTTCACCCTTGCAAGTTTTGTATTTACATGATGGAAGTATTTCTGTTGTGTCCCCTATTCAAAGTTACATGGGTTGATTTTATCACAATGTGAAGCTACTTGCTTTCACTGTTATGTTTTTTTTGTGGGGGCATAATATGGTATGAAGAATTGGAGCATTATTTTGTTTTGAATGTGAGCATTATAATTAGATCTGGTGAAGATTGTGGGCGTCTTAAACGTCTTCTTCATAGAAGACATATCAGTCTCATATCACTAAAAAATGAATGAACAGTTAAAACTAGCTTATTCACAACTCTCCAGAAGCCTAACGTTCCCTGGGTCAATCAAGTGGGTTTCCTTACTATTTCAGACATGTTATCAAACACAATTCCTAATACTTCCAAAAGGATTATTTTCCAGTTCCCAGGAAAGAAGACTTGTTTCTAGGGAATGTTTACTTTCCAGCAATCAAATAGGCTGATTCTTGAGGCCTGAATCTCTCTCTCTTCATCGTTCAATGCATGCAAATTTTTTGGGCTTTCCGTAGTGCCTGAAACTTCATTGGCTCTAGTGTTTTTCAGGCATGCAGGGCTCCGAAGCTCCAGATTCCATGGCCGTAGACCAGGCTCAAGCTCAAACCAGGCTGAGGTTCGAGCCCCTAAAGGCCCATGAGATGAACGATGGGAGGGTCCAGTTTCGGAAGGTCTCGGTGCCTGCGCATAGGTTCAGTCCTTTGAAGAAGGCATGGATGGAAATTTACACTCCTGTGTACGAGCAAATGAAGATTGACATCCGGATGAACCTCAAGGTACAGCAAGTTCTTAGAGAGTTGCTCTTTTTTGTGTGGTTTGGTAGTGTTTTTCATGGACATTAAATTCGGGGATTTGGATTTAGACTTTAGTCTCATTTTGTATCTTGGAAGAGTTGGTTCTGGATCTGGTCAACTTGATCAATCTTATTCCCACGAAGAGTAATTCCTATATTTGTATATTTAGGTCCCGTCTTTGGTGTTTCTTTATATTACAATGTTACTATTACCGTGGTTTGATTTTGTTAAATCCATTCGGATCCAACAATTGGGGTTTTGTTGCAGTTCTCTGCTTTATGTGACATGGTCCATGAATTTGTTGCTGATGCAGTCTTAGATCATTTATGTTCTTTGCTGAATCGTTTTAATTGAATTACCGCTTTAATTATTAGCACACATCTAGATGCTACTAGGCAGTGGCCAATGTTTAAGAAGGCGGATTCGGCTGCCTAGGCAGGGCACAGATACCTGGCAACCTGGAGAAAAAGGGGCCCTCTAGGTCCTTTATGATGATATTTGGGGGTTACTGTTGGTTATTAAATCCCTGATTGAGTACATAGAACATCTATTTTTTTAAAAGAACATTGTTTCATAGTTACGAACGAACATCTGATTTTTTTCTCCTTTTCAATATTTCGTCAATCCGAGGAAGAAAATGAACTAGCATGTTTGAGTTTATTGACATTCTTTTAGGATTGAGTTACCGGATCTTAATAAATGTTAAAAAACTCAAAATAAAACTTACACTGCAATGGGCCAATAATTGAAAGCCAAAAATGAAAAAGAAATCCACATAAACCATAAGAAAATTGAAAAAAAAAAAAAAAATCAATACCCAACATTCATAAATATTGCCAAACCCTAAACCTAGAAATGGAATACACTAACCTGTTAAAACCCAATTGAACTTGACTCGAATTGGTGACCTTTGGGTTGCCAAAAGACCTCTCTTGCAAGACCTCAAAGTCTCAAAAAGTTTTGGATTGAATGCTTATCCAATTTTGCTAGAAATCAAAAAGTTTGAATTTTTTTTATCCTTAAAACGGGGGAAATGTCAAATTGTGCTATTTGCCAAGGGCGTTTTTTCAACGTCAGCCAAGGGTGTTTCGTCTAGCCGCATACTAGCCCGAATAGTGCCCTGCCTGGGCCCTATTCAGTCATTGACAGTGGCGATCTTGGTTGAGGGAATTGGTTTTAGGGTTTTGAAAATTGTCTTTCCTTTCTGGGGAATAAATCATTTTGGAAGTTTTTTTTTAACCTAATTTTCTGATGAGTTTGATTCGAAGTGTTGTTTTTGAAGTGGTATTAGTTTGCTTGTCATTATTGTGACCTAGCTTTGGATTAGGTTGAAGTTTTGGCTACTATGCCATGGGTGTTGGTCCAATCAGGGTCCCACATATGGTAAATATGTTCCGTCTTCTGTAGCAAAATTCACCCATTTAATTCCAACTCCCAAATATTTTTACACTTTATGGAGAGTTCAAGTTATTTTGTTTTTTTTTTTAGTTTTCCATATGGTACATGTGTTTCAATCTCAAGAACCACTTGTTTTCCATGTGTAGGTTGTTTTGAAGCATATTTTCTTGTGTGTTTTCATCGTTGTTTTTGTTTCGGAACTGTCTTAAGGACACAAGCCTTTACATGTTCACTAGTTTCATGCTGGTTTAAAATTTGTGCAAGACTCAGAAGTTGGTGTACCACAACATATGGTCATTCTAATGGAAGAATTGGAAGGCATTGCAATAATAGGAAGTGGTGTGAAGCATTAGTTGAGTGTTGAATTAATTTGCTGATAAAGATATGTTTAATAACGCATCTAACAGACCCTAAAACTTCTAAATTTGGTTCTTTGTTCTGCCACTTGATGTCCTTGAGGTTGTTGCATATGAACAACTTCAAGCCTTTATTGTCTATCAACTCAAAGTTCACTTATGAGAAAACCTCTCATAAGTCCACCATGAACTGGTCTTCCACTTATCAGGGCCTGAGTTCATGTTCACATAAGTAAGCTTTATCCTTTATTCTGCTGTGTCCAGACAAAGGGATGAACTTAAGGGACCACATTACTGTCAAATAAAGTAGGAGTATTTTGTCTTCCCATCATGTGGTTGCTGCAGCTATTCTCTAAATACCACTCTCTTTTTATCTCCCTTGTCATATGACATGGTTCTTATGTTACCCTCCGATGTTTTTTCTCCTCACAGCACCATCTGTAATGTCACCCTTTGAATTTTTTATTTAGGCTTTAAGCAGTGTTATTTGCAAACAATTAACCATTCAATTATAAAAAAATCAGCTTTATCTATAATTTGAAAACCAACATACGCCTAAGGTGTACAGGTTACATTGTTTTGAAAATCTGTTTCTTTTTATTTTTATTTTTGGGGAACAAGTTTTGAATTATAAAATTTGAGCTTGTGCTTTGAGTTTGCTAAAATCCGTTTGTTTCTCGTGTTCAGGCTAGAAAGGTGGAATTGAAGACACGAACGGACACTCCCGATATCAGCAACCTTCAGAAATGTGTGGATTTTGTGCATGCATTTATGCTCGGGTTTGATTTACCTGATGCCATTGCCCTTTTGCGCCTTGATGACCTCTATGTCGATTCGTTTGAGATTAAAGATGTCAAGACTTTGCGAGGCGAGCACCTCTCTAGGGCAATTGGAAGGCTCTCTGGTAAAGGTGGCAAGACCAAGTTTGCAATTGAGAATTCTACTCGAACAAGGATTGTTATAGCCGACTCAAAGATTCACATATTGGGTTCATTCTTGAACATTAAAGTAGCTAGGGATTCTCTTTGCAGTCTCATCTTAGGATCACCTGCAGGTAAGGTTTATTCTAAGCTCAGAGCTATCAGTGCCAGAATGGCCGAGAAGTTTTGACATTCATATACCTATTGCTTGAGTTATTCTTGTTTGGTGCCGAACCTCTTAAAAGAAAAAGAAAAAGATTGCTAGTTTCTTCTTGTGATTCAGGTGGCGCGTCGATTTTGTTCATTGAACTTGAGTTTTGCTAGTTAATGAGAAAGAGGAAGGGGAAGGGGAAAAAAAACAGAAAAAGTGGCTGTAGCATTCTTATGATGCTTGCATTAGTTTTTTGCTTACTGAATATGATTTTACTTATTAAGTATTGTATCAGTTATGGGAAGTGAAATCATTTGTTTGCTGATGCAGAATTTACATAAAGTTTGGTGCTCAAATCTTTTCAAATTCATTTATTCCATCATAGAAAAAGGAAAAAGTTTATATAAGGGCGAGGCTCTAAACAATTAAATTAAGGCGCACTTCAAAAGTCCACTAGAAATGGTTATTTCGAAGCACAAAAGCCCTCAAATTGATCATCTAAACCTCAAGTTGTATGAACAAGAGAAAAAATGGATTTCAAGTATTGAAAATAGTCCATCTTATAATGTATTTATGGACAGTCAATTTTTAAGATTTTTTTAGCATTCATAGATAAATTTATCTATTTAAAGCTCTAAATTTTATAATTAGATGTGGATATAAAGTTTCAAGCCATGACAAAGATATCACGAACATTTCCCGTATTGAAAAAAGAGATTTGCAGTATCGAAAAACATATTTTTATACTGTTTAAAGGTGCGCCTTACTTTGATTATTTGGGGCCCTTAGACCTATGCAAACCGCACCATAGAAAAATGCTTGTTCTGGAGGAGGCTGGACTCCAATTTCAATCGGTGAATGGGCCACTTCGAGTTGGCTTTTATCCCTTAACCCCAACTTGTTTGGAGGACTTTTATGCCTTAACCCCAAAATGGGCCCCTCTTTGTGCCACGTGCCTCTCTCTCTCTTTATATATATATATATATATATATATATGGCCAAACCCAAATTGTTGGTATAAGGCTTGGACGATGGTAGCATATATGATAAAACATGTGTTTGTGTGTAGCATGCAGCAATAATCAAGACACATTTAAGCACTTTACAAAAGCTCATTCATTTGAGGCTTGTTTGGTATACGTGAAAATATTTTCGAGTGAACAAACTCTTTTTGTGATTAGGTGTGGGAGTTTTTTTACACCAATTAGCCCTAACACATTTTTTATACTAATTAGAAACTAATTGATGTGAACAAATTCATACACTTAAATGAAGTTTTTCATGTGAAAAGACTTTCACATAAGTATTTTTGTCCCAAACGTGAGGGAGCATTCTCGTCGGCATGGGAAAGTGTTAGGAAAGGCTGCGGAAGTTTTCCCCAATTGCTACAACTACTACTTTCCATAGAAATAAACGTTCCAAGGTAAATAACTCCGGGAACTAAACATGCCTCTTGTAAGATATTGGTGTTCAAAAATACTATGATAGTATCTAGAATGAGATATTGTATGTGAAATACCAAAAACTACTCTTATTTTTATTTTTGACGGGGGAGAATTACTATCTACACATCCATATCATTCCTAGCCCAATATTGATCCAGTACGAAATATTCCCTTTTTGAAATTAAAAAGGGAAAGTTCTTAAAAATAATGCTCAAGAGATAAATTATTAGCTTCTCATCCATTAAGGTAAATTTAATTCCGACAAGCCATCAGGAGGCACATAAGCATGAGTGGCAATAATCCATATTCTTAATAAATGAAGTTTCTATAAGGCCTGGGCTTTATGAAACAAAATAAAGGCCCACTGTAAATCCTTTGGAAAGCACTTTTGGTAACAAAAATCTCTAAGATGAATCTAAAATCAATTTCTAACACCAATAAAAAATTTTGAAACTAAAAAAATGGTATAGATTTTGTGGATCTTTGAACACTTACTTTTAGAGTGAAGTGGATGGTATAGATAATTTGTTACAATATACATTATTTTTAGAACTTAAAATCCTAATTTTTTTCACAACCATAATGTTCAAGCCGAGATGATCCATATAAAGGTTTTCCAATGGTTGAATTATAATTTTCAATGAGATATGAGGTGAGGCTTTATTTATTTGGACGGGGCAAACCATTTTCCATTCTTAATCGGTGAAATGCTAAATAGTTATAATGACTAAAATGTTAAATAGTAACTTTCTTGAGAGCTATTTGATAATTTTGCCTATTTTTTGGAAAACATTTCACGATCCATGACTTAAAATATATCATAGTCATAAAGGCCACCCCAGTTGTAGATATAGAGTGGGTTCCACTAAACATGTCACACCTTCACCATCCAATTCATCAAGGGAACAATGATGATGAATCAGTGATCACAATATTTTCACATATAGTACCGTGGTTTTATCTTTATTTTCTTTTTTCCCTTGTATCAAAAAATCAATAAAAATGAAATTATCTCCAAGAAAAGAATACTTGTTATGCGTAATATCTTCAGTTTGATATGTATTTGTCTACATTAGACTTGAAATATATCATGGTCATGTGAAGGCCACCCCAATTGTGGGTATTGAGTGGGATCCACCAAACATGTTACACCTTCACCATCCAATTCATTGAGGGAACAGTGATGATGCATCAGTGACCACAATATTTCCACATATGAGACTGTCCTACTCCCACCCAGAAAGGACCTCAATATCCAAAAGAAACAAATATAAGGGTGGTAATTTGTTTCTCTATCAACTGAGAAATTTTTCAAGTATTTATCATTTTATATATTCCAATTATGACAGCATACAGCAAGCTCCGTTGGAGCGTATTGTACATTAACTCCCTGAGATAAACAAAGAAAAAGAAAGATCAGTTACTTTTTTTTTTTTTAGTTTTTGGGATTCAACTAAGAATAAATAGAGGATGATTTCCGAGTGAAAGAAAATGTGGATTTTGAGTTTTTCAACACCTAGATCTTGCCCTCTTAAAATTATTCATTCCTCTTGCATTATTGGGACGTTATTTTCTTGAAGCACATAGAATATTGAAATTTTTTTTTTTTGAGGTTGATCGCTGCACCCATGAGGTCCCATCCCCTTTGGAATCTGTGTTCCTATCTTTAGATTTACTTAAGGGAGCAAATGAACACTATGCTCCCACAATAACAAACATTTGGATTTAATAATTAACTCGTGATAATGTGTATTTTGATGGATAATAAGTAGTTTAATGCGATTGGTTTAAAATAAATAAAAACAGTTCAAATGCTAAATACTTCATCTTTTTGTGCATTTTGATGAGTTTTCTAATGGAACATATGTGATTATATTTTACATTTCTAATGGAAAAATACGCAGGTGTTTATTCATCTTATATATTTGATATGAAAAGGTCACAATCACACCGAGCAAATGTGAACTTAGACCTCCAAGTGGTGGTGTACCATTTACTTGCACTCGAACTCGAAGGAAAAATTTCCATCTCCATTCACTGAAATGATATATCCCAACCTTTAGAGATTATTATGTGATTGTTTGGGGTGATTGTGACATCTTTGTACGAAATGTAACTATCTCATAATAAATAATCCAATATCAATTTATTGAAGTGTTTGTGGTTTCTCATGTTATTGTTCACCCTGGCTATCTTATTTTAATCTCTAGCTGTTAGATTTCACATGGCTTGAAATGTCTCTAACCTTTATGCTCCATGGGATTATATAATCCATTTACTATCTCGGGCAAAGCTTATACTATAAATAGGGATTATATACAAATAGACCATTTAGTTTTGAAAAAAAATTATATAAGGTTGCAACATTAAAATGTAGAATTACATATGTACCTCAAAAATCCATCGGAAAATGTTCTTTTAATGTTGAAAAACCATCTATTTAATCGTCTCAACATCGAGATGTATGAATATTTTTAAAAAATATTTTTAGTCCCAGAAATAGTGCATCATGCAACACATTATCTAGACCGTTTATTTTCAAGATTTTCATATATTTATAGATCTACTTGATTTTAGCCATTTTTAGAGTTTAAAAATTTATAATTAGATATAAAAATAGATTTTTAGATAATCCTAAGAGTTTTTTACACAAAAATTACATGTTATGATAAATTTTGGAGGTGCGCTTTATTTTGATTGTTTAAGGTTGCAACCTTATAGAAACCACGTCTTTTATCTTATGTACATGGAGGTCATTATTATTCCTACTCATTAGATGCTAAATAGGGTCTCTTGGGGTGAGTCACAAGTCCGAGAAATATTTATCTGGAACTTTGTGTCAATTCAATGATGCTATTACAACCACCCATTTTGAAATTTAAAATTTAAGAGATAAGAATGATTGTGAAATTTAAGGGATAAGAATGATTGCGACATCCATATTCAAAAGATAAATGATATATTTGTCGATAATCCCTTATAAATATCTTTTAGCTCTCAAAATTTGGAGATGTGATCTAAAAACCAAAACCACCCTCAAAAAAAAGAAAAAAGAACAAAGAAAAAGAAAACCCGTACTATCCTCAAAAAATTAGCATAAAAAAAACATCCAATTATTGGAGGGAATGATATAGATATTCAAGAACTAAAAATTCAAATTTTATTAGAAAGAATCATATGCTTATAAATAATTTGATCCCAAAATTTCAAATAATTAAAAAAAGGATTTCGCAAGCAAGTGTTTTACTCGAGCGAGTAAAGTAATAGAATGCTCCCGACGGAGCATAGCATACTAGCTCAACAAATTTCATATGTTATTAGTTCAGTTGTTTGGGGTTATTTAGGTCATTGCACCCTCTATATATCTAGAGTACTCTACGGTACAATCGGTGCATTCTGGTGCAATAAGAGCACTCATTTCTGCCCTAGATTTTGATATTTTTCCTTGTGTCCTAATTTTGATGTTTCTACTTTCCATCTTTTTGCCCTAATTTATCAAATCATTTTTGCTCTAAGCCTAATTTTCCATCGTCGCATAAGTCTATGAGATCCGTTGCAGAGAAGAATTTAGGATCGACCGAAAGCAGTAAGTTCTCGTCCAATGTGACCTTGTTTTACTTCCATTGTTGTTATCTTTGTTGACTGTAGTTATTTAGGAAATGGGTTTTGTTTGTTGTTTTCCGGGGCTTTTTTTTCTAATTTGAAGCTTCTCTGATCGTCTTTTAACTTTGGATTAATGGTTTCCATATTGATGCTCTGTTTTCTTGATATGTTTTTGTTATTAATTATTTGCCGTTGAATTAAATTTTAGTAGATTGATTTGTTATTCTTGTTAGTTATTGATTTAAACCTAACATGATTGATAGAGTTTTTTTATATAGTTATTGGAGCTAGTTTTTTGCAAGGGCGTTCAAGATTGGGGTGAATCCATCTTCATCACATGGGGTGGTTCTTTAGTCACATAGGAGTGAATCCATCATCACATAGGAGTGAATCCATTTTCAGCATGGGTTTTGCTTAGTTAAACTTGGGGGCTTTTGGGTGAGAGTTCTGTTTAAAACCAATGCTTGTCTTTTGAGTAAATCCATTTTCAGATGGGTGACTGAAATGTCAGATACTCCATTTTCTTGTATCCATTGACTTGGGGTTCTACTATGTATATCTGTTATGCAGTAGGGTGATATTTATAGCCGGGTATGCGTTGTGCATTATATGTAACAGAGTTGGAAAACTTAGGTAGTATGTCTTGGATTTGCGTGAGTTACTTGGACTTGGCAGACTGCTTGGTCTGGAACCAAACACCTGGCTTGGCCAATTTCCAGTATTTTATTAGTTTTTGTTTGGACTAGGTTGCTCTCTGATGGACTCTGACAGATGTGGATGTCTGTGAGCTCACTCGGGCTCGCGATCCTCTCACGTCCCAATCCAAGTCCTTGTTTATTAAGACTGGTGTGGTATTTATTTGAGCATTTGAAGCATATGGTTTTGCTAATTTTACACAGAATGTAACTTTTAGTACATGGGCATTACGAATGTCTCTGCGTGTATGTATGTTGCCCCCAAACCCACCACCCCCGTACACACACACACATGAGCTTGCTACAATGGGTTCTCTCCTTCCCAGCTTCACCAAACAAATTGCCCAGTATCTGATTTATTGGCTTATAGTATTCTGAAATTCCGAGGAACCTTCTTCTGGGCTATTTTGTACAATTTCTCATAGGGATCTCTAGAGCTACCCCATAAAGATCAATGCAGGTTCCAATTACAACTACCAGTGCATTTAATGGAGTATCACCCACCATCGGTAAGTTTCAGGAGTGCTTGCTTGGATGAGTGGAGCTTGTTCTTCGAGACTTGTCTTATATAATATCAGGTCATTGGGTCGTTCTATTTTTTATAGTTTTCAGATTGGATTTTATCTTTTATGAGCACACAACCATCCATTTTGACTGCCTGGTTGTGTTTGTAGCATTTTTCTTTTTAAGGTTCTGGTTATGCAAATGAAATAAAAATCTAACCTCAGATCATAATGTAGTCCTGACATTATCATGACAGCGAAATGACTGGCTATTATTGTGTTTATGACCAACTGATCATGATGTCTGGAGGCATTTATAGTATGGTTTAAAAAATGTCTTATAACAAAGATAATTATCTTTTTTCATGTGTGTGCATTAATGAAAAAAGTAGTCATACAAGATATTTATTTTATGGTTCAGTATTTTCCTTGATTCATTCAGTGACAAACCTCGAGTAATTTATAAACAGAGAACATTTAAATGAACACAATACTTTGTAATGAATAATGTTTCTCAAGAGTAGCTCATTATATTCCATTCGTGATAGGTATCTCAAAATGTAAATCTCTGTTTTTTGTATTTTTTGATGTCCTGCACGAATGGTCTCTGTCTCTCTCTTTCTATTTGTCTTTTTTTGTGAAGATATATTTTTACTTTTTGATTTTCATTGCTTCCATTTTTTGGATGTTATTTTGCGTGTATAATCTACAAGACCCACATTTGACAGAAAAACACAATGCATGTTTATCAAAATCTAGATTGGGTGGGAAACCCAAATGCACATTAAGTTGATTAGAACATCACCATTCATCCAACATCATTGGCTTTGTGCACTAAAGATGATTTGGAGTTCAATTTTTATTTATATTTTGTCCTTTGAAAAGTGGAGTATTATCTCAGAATTTCTGTCAATTTTTTTTTTTGGGTTTCTTGGGAATCTTTTTTTGTGGATGGGTTATGGATGTCTGGAAGAGGAAGGTTAAATGGTTCTCTGTTTTTCTTTTCCTTTTGTTACTTTATTTGTTTGATGTTTGCATGTTTTTATTTCACTTGCATTTATGTTACATGGTGCTTATGTGCTTGATAATATACTCTCCTTGGGTATTTAGCTTGGTAAACTATGTCATTGAGCGGAATGCATACAAATAAGATTTTCTCCTTGACAGTTGGTTAATAGTACGACTTCATATTGGAAGGCCCGGTTAGTTTAGTCTATGTTGGTTCGTGAGATAAATGTCTGAATGCATACTGAGGGTTTTGGAGATGCCAAATTTGTTTGAGGATTTGGCTTTGAGGATCCAATGCAAGGGATTGGCAGAGTCGCACTCGTTGATTCTTTATTGACATTGGTGTAACCGTATGTGTTTGTGCATCCGTTACAGGATAGGATTGAAACAACCTGAACTCGAAACACCTGGGAGATCAAGTTCCTTTGCGGGGGTTACCAAAGGGGGGCCTACAAGTAATGGATCCAGGACGCTATGTTCTTCCTCCTCAAGGATGGGAAACTAACAGCGTAATTGTGGTTTTCTCCTTAATCACCTATGCAGGATGATAAACAAGAATTGTCGCTCTTGTGATTGTTCTAAATGTTTACTGGCAACATCGTTTAAACACATGATCAAGAAAAGCCCATGGCCAGTGACGATATGGACTGGATTTGTCTACCCCTTCATTGATTATGAGTCACTGACTTGAGTTATTCTTTTTAATGCACAGGCTTTGGAGGGGTATGGTTCTGTCCACGAGCCGGATTTCAGGTGAGTACCCCAAACCCGATATCATATTCACTAGTGTTCTAGGAGTACGTTACATGGAATATTCTCATGTCTATGCTTAAAACATATTATCTGGCTTTTGATTGCTCAATTCAGTTCCTAATTTTAGTTTGATTGTGTAACTGTATCTCATTCACCCCCTTTACTTCTCCAATGAATGAATATTGTTCTTTCGTTTTTGTTCAAATTGTTGTGGTATCGAACTCTATTGGGTATTTGATTTGCGTGCCTTCATACTTTGTTTATTTTCTGCCTCATTGCACAATTATCTTCTCTTTATTCCTTCCGCTCACCTGTTTCGATAGGGTTGGTGGTTCTTATGGGGGGAGGAGATTTCCTGATGATGGTTACTCAAGAGATGCCCTCTATCCGAATGGTGGCTTTCATCGAGACATACTTGAGAGGGATAGCTACCCACCTCCACCTCCACCTCCTGTTGTTGGTGGTTGGCCTCCACAGAGAAGAAGAGATTTTGAAGAAGATATTGGATACATTAGGGACCCTCGAAGGCATGAAAAGGCACCATACCTTGATTCGTTCCGTGATGTCGATGCTTACCGTGATGTGGACAAGTACCGTGACATCGATTCATACCATGATGCTGATAAATACCAGGACATTGAGAGCTACCACAGTAATTATCGGGATACCGATGGCTACCGTGATTATGATTTTGATAGGCCTGCGAGGTTTGGGGGCCGTGAACGTGATGATTTTGGTTCTGATGATTATGACTCTAGGCACCGTACCCCACACCAAGCCAGGGACGGTAGTCGTGAAAGGGATTATGATTACCGAAGGCATGAATATGATTCTGATCTTGAGAGAGATGGGAGAAACAGTAGCTGGAGACGTCGTGATCGTGAAAGAGATAGAAGGGGTTTGAGTCGAGAGAGGTATCAAAGCCCACCAAGGAGGCAGCGTGAGCGGTCTCGGTCTTATGGGTATGATGATCGAGATAGGTCAAGATCTCCTCGTGGCCGCAGCCGTGGTAGAAGTTATCGAGAAGGAAGCCATGATGATGGTCGCTATGATAGGAGTGAGAGACGAAGGGATCGGGATGATAGACGACATCATGAGAATTTGTCAGTGGTATGCCTTTGATGTGTCTAATATTCATGCATATGTTTGAACTCTATGCATCCCAGAGTAGTTTCTAATCTAATCCGTATTTCAATTTTCTGTAGGCTCCCTCAGCCACGCTTGTTGTGAAGGGTTTATCACAGAAGACAACAGAGGAAGATTTGTATCAAATTCTTGTAATACACCTATTTTACTTCATTGTTTTAATCTCATGTCAATTATCTTGTTGTGACCTTTCATATCCATCAATGAGCTCATGCTTTTTGTTTTCAGGCTGAGTGGGGACCTCTGCGTCATGTACGTATAATTAAAGAGAGGAATTCGGGTTTATCTCGTGGATTTGCTTTTATTGATTTTCCATCTGTGGTATGTATAGATCTCGCTGAAAATTGGTAGATATGTCGATTTTCTTGTTAATGATGACTAGTTCACAGGTATATTTTTATTTTTTTTCACAGGAAGCGGCACGTAGCATGATGGATGGAGTTGGAGATGATGGTTTGGTTGTTGATGGTAGGAGACTCTTTTTTGAGTACAGGTAAAGTTGTTTTCTTTAAAGTAGTTCCCTTGATAGACATTCCTTATAGGAAATGAAAATTCAATTGGAAATTTAATCTAATGACCTTGTAGATTAAGCTCAGACTAACAGTGGTTCTGAACTTCTTGGTACAACTGCAATACTCTTACACTGCAATTCCTTGACACAGATAAATTAACTTCCCAATGTTAGTTGAGTTGGTGTTGGTTCCTTGGAGCTTTGGCTCAGGAATTTTATCTTTGTTTCCCTTTTATATGTCTCCTCGACACCTCTTCATGTTTATCACTTGTGTTATAGCTATAGTGTAACTTTCTTCTTCCTTTAAATGAAACTTGGCTGTCAAAGATAAAACACCACCTTTAGTTGCAGTCTTGCAGATAAACTTCACATTAGAAAACAGTCTCTGCATATCACTTTGCGGGCTTGGGATCCTCTCCTATTAATATCATGTTTTTTTGGTTCTTTAAGTACTTCCAGGCTTATGTATTTATAAGTCATTTTGATTTGAATTCGATGCATTCTGGTGAGTAGTTTTCCAATATTCTTGAAGTACCACCACTATTTATTTTTTGGCAATTTCAAGGACTTATATTGTCATTACTTATATATAGCCACACTTTTCTTGTCATTCCCTACACATTAATTCTGAGCGCATTTTTTTAGGTTTACGTCCATTGTTTTTTATTATGGTCATCTGTCAGTGTGGTCTTTTACATACACAATTAGTGTTTCTCTAAAATTTGGATGTCTGTTGCGTTGATCTAATCTCATGATCCTTGTACTTGCCATACTTAGACAATGATCTGATCTCATTTTTATATTGTGTTACAGTAGTAAGCCAACTGGAAGCACAGGTGGACATTCTTCTCCGAAGGCAGGAAATTATAAAAGCAGCTCTATGCCATCTGATTGGATGTGTGTTGTCTGTGGCTGTGTGAATTTTGCTCGTCGAACGTCCTGTTTTCAGGTAAATAGCAAAAAAAAAGGTCCTGTTTTTTTTTTTTGGGGTAGTTCAGCAGTTGGAATTGAAAGTTTGTCCAGCTTTCAGGTTTCTTTATAGGAGACTCTGTAACCTTGTCTGGTAGAAACATCAGTAATGGGTTGGCAATGTAGTGCTTCATGCATGGTGTTTGGTTGACACAAATGTATATGTTTGTCATCATCATTAGAGCCTTTTCCCAATTAATTGGGGTCGGCTACACGAATCCTGGTTCGCCATTCTGTTCTATCAAGGGCCATATCTTTAGTGATGCCATGAAGTCTCCATACCTTTTCTCGCTGTTTCTAACCATGTCCCTTTGGGCTTACCCCTTGCCCTTTTTAAGCCTTCCACTTTAAACTATCTCGCTAAATCCATATGTTTGTGGTATAAATAATTCTGAGTACTGGCCTTTTCATAATGAATTTGGCCATTTAGTTTGGTTTTGTGAATAGATGCAGATGTTAGTTAGTTGCACGAATACTTATTGCATGAACTTCTAATGTTAGGCCGGGTCAATCGCCAATTACTTAAGCTTGTCAGGGTGTCTGTTGCGGCCTGGCCCGAACTGATCTGCCAATAAGTGGGTTCTGGGTGGCTAGGCTTTGCCGACCTGGCCCTTTGTTTTAAATCCAGGCCCTGTCCCAAATAATTTAAGCTAGGCCAGGCTTGGCCTTGGCCTGTGGGTCTAATGGGATTTACTAGCCTTTTCTTGGATTAATATTGGCCTCTCCTGAGCTTATTGTTACTTATAGATACTTTTCCCTTCGCTTATAGGAAATTCAATCCTAGAAGCCTATATGGCTCATCTTAGCTGCTATGTAATCTGAATGGACTGTTTTTTTTTAAATTAAGACAATGGATTGTTTAATGGATAAATGATGTACCATTAAAACAAAAAACACAAAAAAAAAAGAGCTAAAAACAGAATCAATGTAGGATTGTTTTCTCCACTCACCAAAAAAAGACAATGGATTGTTTTGTTGGATGGTACACTAAAGAGTGGAGCTACATGCGGCGTAGAGTCTGGTTTAGTTCACTCGTTGGATTCAATCCTCTACTATCTTTGGGTTGGCTACTGAATACTTCAATAATTTCTGCAGGTCTATTAAAACTTTAATGGCTTATAATCCTAACACATTTGATTTGTTTGAGTGCAGTGTAATGAACCCAGGACTGATGATGCTCCTGCAGCTGATGTAGCATCATCCAATCCCACACCAGTAGGAAAGAAGGGTTCAGAGGCTGGTAGAGTTGTAGTTCATGTCCAGTTCCTAGCATTCATCTATTCTCTGTGCTAGGGAAGTAATTACCTGGAATTTTGGTTTATCAGGACCTACACATGTGTTAGTTGTTCGAGGCTTGGATGAAAATGCTGATGAGGAAATGCTTCGATATGAATTCTCTAAACATGCTCCAATTAAGGTATGTAGTGCATGATAATTATATATGTACATAGTAATGAAAATGTCTTGCTGGTTGAAATTTCTGAAATGAGAGTTCTTTGGTTATGCAATCTGTTGCATATGGTACCTGCAGGACCTTCGCCTTGTACGTGACAAGTTCACCCATGTATCCAGGGGATTTGCTTTTGTTCATTTTCATTCGGTACGTGTAGTGGCTGGCATCATTTGGAATTCTCAATTAAGCAACAATGGTCATTGTATTACTTTAATGTTGTGTATTATGCCACCCTTTTAGGTAGATGATGCTACAAAGGCATTGGAAGCAACAAATGGCACAACACTCGAAAAGAATGGGCAGCTTTTAAGAGTCGCATATGCAAAAAGCATTCATGGACCAGGTTCTGGATCAGCTGCTGGTTCTCAATCAAGCAGTCTTGCAGCTGCTGCAATTGAGGCAGCTACATTTGCCCAACAGGTTTTTGCATGAATTTTGTATACTTGTCATTGTTTCTTTTTCTTTCTTTGTGAAGCAATATAATTTTGTAGTATGGGAGTAGACCTTCAAAATAAATAAACAATGAAATAGATAAACATATGCATGTGTATGTCTCTAACATGGGACATTTCGTATCTTTGGAATTGAATTGACCCAGTGATTTATAACTTCAAAACCATTTCAGAACTTCAGAAAATCAATGATTGGAGTGCCATTGTTAACAGTCTACTGTTATTGGTGTTCCTATAGTATGATGCTGTTGGATGGGCTCCAAAAGAATACAATCCGGATGAAAAGCAATCTGCCGGGGGAGGACCTGATAAACAGGCTGAGGGACATGCAGAAGGTGGGAACTCAACCCCCCGAATGCCTGAAGGTGGATCAGCTCCCCAATCTGGTTTCGTATGGGATGAAGCATCTGGCTATTACTATGATGCAGCTTCAGGATTCTACTATGATGGGAACACAGGTAAGTCATTCATATGTATAGATAATGCATGATAGAAAGTGATATTCTTGCAGTTAAGCATATTTCACTCTATAGAATGTAGTTTGCATTATAATTTATCAAAAAATAGAATGTAACTTTGTTTCTGTTTGCAGGCCTCTATTATGATGGCAATAATGGGTTGTGGTATTCATATGATAACCAAACGCAACAATACATCCCCTGTGCCAACCAGAGTGAAAACAAGGCATCTGAAAAATCCACAACTGAACCGTCAAAGCCATCAGACCGAAAAGTTGTTATATCTGCCCCTGCTGCTACCATAACTTCAAATGACAACAAAAAAGCCTCATTACCTGATGCAGTGCACGCTGCTGCAACAGCTGCACTGGCTGCTGAAAAGAAAGAGAAGGAGAAGCAAAAGGAGATAAAGTTGGCTTCAAAGAGTAGCATTTTAGCTAATAAGAAGAAAATGAATAATGTATTGTCGATGTGGAAGCAACGGAACCACGAGGGTCAAGCAGCTCGTGTAGTCCTTGATAATGACCAATCATCAACCAATGATAACAAGCCCAAGCCCAAGCCTGAAACCATAAAGGAGGGCACAGGATCAGGTCCTGGATTCACATCTGTGGGCCGAGGGTCAAACATTAATAATAATGCAGCCAATTCTAGTGCTACAGGAGATTTATCAGCGAAGCCTGTACCTGTGAGTAATAGCTCAGGGGGCACCTTGATGGGGGTTATCAGGGGCTCAGGTAGAGGAGTAGTGAAGTCAGATACAGTATATATAGCCGGTTCTTCTTCTTCTCCTAGTGTTGGTGGAGTTTCTACTCCAAATCGTTCTATTGACAATGAAGTGCCTACTACTACTAATGTGGCAACTCCATTTAGAACTGATGCTTCGGCTTTGGGTTCTTATGCTCCAATTGTTGGAGGGAACACAAAGCGAAGGTTTTCGGAGATGCCTCAGCCTGGGACTAGAGAACAAGGACAGCCTACAGTTACGGGGTATAGGGATCGGGCTGCAGAGAGGAGGAGCCTATATGGGTCGTCCTTGGGAACGGTGGATGATTTGGCTGACCTTGATATTGGAGATAGAAGTAAGGTCTTTCATCTTTTGTGGTTGGCTAATATATACTTGTCCCTCTCTATACATTTATATTTTCTATAATTTGCATGTGCAGTCTTTCTTAATATGTTTTTACATGTGCATTTATTCCTCTGTGTCCTCTCTTACATCGACTATAACTTGCAATGATAGACATCCAATATTGCACTTGTACATTTATGTGTATGCATGTACATACTTTTTCTCCCTCCCTCTTGTATGAGGAGTGTTTGTATGTATATAAGGACTTGCACAGGCATTGGTCCTATTGTTAGGTGCATGGATATATTGTTTTGGGCATGCCTGTATGTACCAGAAGGGGCATCTATGCTTTGCCCATTAAATCTTGTATGGAAGGGGGTGGGAGAGATATTGTTCTGGGTGCACATGTCTGTGTCAGAAGATGCATCTATCCTTTACTCTTCAAATCAACGAAGTGGCCTTACAAATTTAACAAATTTAGCGTGTTCGCTTTTAGTTATCAACTTCATCTGTAGTTCTGATATTTTATGTCGCCTATAGTTGTGCATGAAGCCGTGCATGAAGCCTTTGATAGGATCCATGAATATCTCAGTTTTAATGGATTTATCTGACTCTGTAAGATGCAGGATATTTTATTGCAACTGATGGAAATATTTTATTTTATTTTGCATCCCTGCTGGTTTAACTGTCAATGTGTGCTCATAGGTCGTGAGATGCCATTCCCTCCTGGTGTGGGAGGGCGGCCGGCTGCCATGCCTGAGGGCCCGAGTTATGATGTGATCACAGCAGATAGGGCCATTGATGGCACCAATGTGGGCAAACGCATGTTGCGAAACATGGGCTGGCAAGAGGGTTCGGTGCGTGTACCTTAAAAATCTTCTCATTTATTTTATCCTTATTGCAAAATGCTTTTATTTCCTCTGTTGTGGTTTCACTTCAAGGATTCTTTGCAAGGAGAAATGGTTGAGACATGCCTTTCTCTGTAGAAATAGTCAGTTGCTCAAATTAGTGTTGCATATTTGCATTTTGAACTAGTGCTCCTGATCATGTTAGCACAGACTCTGACAAATCATGCTTGCTTAGGGAAATGTGCATGATGCTTTTGGAATTATGGAATATGAACAACTTCTCAGTGAGGTACCACTGAAATATCCCAGGAAGAATTTGAAACAAAAGGATTGCTGACAAAAATATGAACTGTGAAGATTGAATAACTTTTATCTGTCGGATATTGGATCTCTTTGTACCTTTTTGGCGGTTTTAGCCGTGTGAGTTTTTGAGGTGCTGACTTTTCTCTTTTCCTCTTCTCTTGAAAGTGGGTTCGGGGGACTGGTTTGGTGTTGTATTTTTTTCTTTTGCAGAACAGGGGGGAGAGGGGGTGTTAATAAATTCATCAAATCAAATGGAGATACTGGAAAGGTCTTGTTGATGCAAAACTATGGAAGTAGCACAACATTATTTGTATTGAAAAACATTAACAATTAAGAAAGGAATACTGCCCTATTAGGATCTGACTAAAATTTCTATGCTTTGGCATCTCTTAGTTTATTCCAAAATTGATTATGGATCTGACTGAGATTTGACCTCCAACAAATCTTTAAATCAACTGTACTTGGTGCGTCAAAGCAAAAATAGGACGGTTTTAGTGGTACAGTAATGAAGCATTTGCATGTGTACTTTTTGGAGAGGCGGACTTTTCGGCCTAATGCTTTCTGGACGAAGCTTTGTTTTGTGAATTTAGGGCTAGTGCTCGGGAGAAAGCAGTGTTTGAAAATGTGGACATCTGCTCTTTCCGGTCCCAAAGTTACCCAGTGCCGTATGGATGAGTCCCGAGTCGAACTGGTGAATTTTAAATAAAAAATAAGGTTTAGGGGCCTACTGGGGGCAGGTACCGGGGTTCTGACTCTGGCTTCCCAAGCTCCCTGACCTTAGGCCAACGCAGGCGAGTCCCCAGCCAAGTCCAAGATTTTTTCAACACTAAGACAATGTAAAAATTTTACTTGAGCAAAAGAAGTGCAAACACTTACATGTATTATGGGCTTTTTGTTTTACAGGGATTAGGGAAGGATGGGAGTGGGATAATAGAGCCAGTCCAGGCTCAGGGTACGGGTGAAAGAGCCGGGCTCGGCAGCCAACAAAGGAAGCCTCTTGACCCACGCTTCGAGCCTCAGTCCGGGGACACGTATCGAACTGTGATCCAGAAGAAGGCTATTGCAAGGTTCAGGGAGATGTCCTAGAAATGAACCTTCTCCTGCTATTGGGGTTTGATTTTATAATGATACTGAGTTATTGGATGGTCTGGATTTGGTCCTGTGGCATTTACAGATTGAATCTGGAGCGTTAAAAGCATTGAAATTGGCATTATGGACTGAAGTGTATTTGCTGAGAGGCTTGTCTGTTCAAGTGAGTGTTTGTTCCAGTGTTCATCCGATCATTCTCAGGTCATATTGTAATTAATTTTAGATTAGATTTAACTTGTATCCTCAAAGAATTATGTTTTTTCTCCGTATAATTTAGTGAAATAATGATTGTGCTTTATCTTTGAAAAACTTGGGTCTCGGGATTTATATTTTCCTGGGTGAATTCATTCATTGAGGCGATATTTCAGTCTGGCTTGCGGCTAGTGTTTGTAATTTGTTTTTCTAAGTTAAGGTAAAACTGTTGGGTATTTGGAGGATGTGGGATGTGGAGTTTTATTGGAATATGAAGGATGGGAAGAGAGAGAGAGGGACAGGTTCTCATGAAGATTCAATCCGTATAAGACGTGGTAGGCGCCGGGTTGTCATGAAGACTGATGCTGTATGAGAGAGATTCTTGTGAAGATTCAAGCTGCATATACCCTCATGAAGATTCAAAGTGTATGTTCGAGAGAGTAGTTTTCATAAGATTCTAGCTTCGTGTGGTCGTTCGAGAGAGAGAGAGAGAGAGAGAGGTCATGATGAGCTGTATATAAGAGAGGGAGGTCATAAAGATTCGAGCTGTATATAAGAGGGAGATTCCCATGAAGATTCAAGCTGCATACAGTTGTTTGGAAGAGAGATTCTCATGGGACTGGGGTTGGGGTGATGCTTCACCATACCGTCCCACCCACTCCCTACTGTAAACATTTTAAAAAAAAGACGGTTAGCACATCATCATCGTGGTTAAAGCCGTGGATGAACTGATAACATATCCCAAAAAATAAAAAGAGGAGGTTCTTCCAAATGTTGAGCGGTTTGAGAGAGAAGTGTGGGGGTGCAGACTTTCAAGCTGCATGTGAAGAGAGAGGTTCTTGCGAACATTGAAGCTGCTGCATGTTGAGAACGTTTTCATGAAGATTCAAGCTGTGACCTGAATGAGGATCGTGCACTTGTTTTAGTGGCCTTTCGGATTAGACTGATTGTGAACATTTCGGAGCGCACAAAGGAAAACAGCTCGTTCTGCCCTGCTGCTCTCCTTTCATAAAAAGAGCGCATGTACTATGCTCCTGCAGGAGTACAATGTACACTTGCTCCTTTGGTAGAGGACTAGCTTGGGAAGTTTTTTTTTTTTTTTTTTTAATATGAAATCTTGGGAACCACCTAAAAATCACTTGATGATGGTTATATTCAAAAGGAAAATTTTGAATTTTTAGTCTGCTTACAGTTTCTCATCCTCATCCTTAAAAGCCTTCAATAACAAGAGGAATATCATCGGACAAGGTTTATGGATGTGCATTGAATTCAGCCTTGATAATTTGCATCGATGTGCCTTGATTGCAAGGGCTCCTAGCATATGGATAGCTCAATGTGTTCACCAGCATCTCATGGAGAAGTGGCGTTAACTTTCTAATCACTTGTCCAATCTATGCATGTTCACTTACTATGAACTACAAGATAACCTTTTTCATTCTGCGGTGATGGAGGGATCATCCCATTCAAACCTTTTTTGTCTTGAACTTTTGTCAAAGGTCATGAGAAAGCAACAATTAATAAGATTTCTGTAATCTTCCCTTCCTGAAGGAAGAAGATGAAATTCTTTTCACTGAAACTGTGAACCCAACATATAGACCAATCACCCATAGATCAGAAGGAACCACTGGCTGTTCAACAAAGGTCGGTTTGTGAGGATCTCACATATCAAGCCATGCTTCTGCATGTATCATTCCAGCCTCCGAGTTAAAAGGAGCTATTACGATCCATCCCTTGATGATCTGTCCCTCGAGATGTTGTAATGATGGCCACACTACTCTCCATGTTGCTTCTCACTAGCTGCATCACATTTGCCTCAAGTTGCAAAGAGCCCTTATTGAGGTGCCAAACCTTTGTCAAACCCACATCAAGGTGCCCAACTTTTCTGATGCGGAATCTTAAGATCAGCCTGCTATTCCTAGAGTGGGTTTTACCCATTGAGAGGCCTTAAGCATTTTCCCTTTATATATTTTCTGGATGATTCAACACATAACTGTGTTACCATTGCCTGCTTCCACATCCCGATGAGAAACTGTGGAGATTAACAATACTTCACAAGAACTCACCCAGGTATTGCTCTTCATCATCATCCCCCACCAAAAATGGAATGATAAAAATGGTGTATCCTGCATCAATATTTCTAAAAAATATTTTTCTCTGGTGGAAAGATAGTTTACAGTTATATTTAACCATTTCTCTTTTTTCAGTCTTCCTTGTTAATACTAAAGCCAGAATTCAGCTATTGGCAACATTTTGCTGATACTAGGGTTCATTTTTAAAGTTGCACCCGCCGATGTGGCCCATTTGGGTGCAACTCCAGGGCAGCTTTATTGCTACCAAGGAAAATAAGGCCAATAAAACTGGGCCTTAAGTAATGAGTGCAGACAAGGGAAGATCACTGTATGCTCACATGAATAAAGGAAAATAAGGCCAAGAAAACTGGGCCATAAGTAATGAGTGTAGACAAGGGAAGATCACTATATGCTCACATGAAAATCAAGCCCCAACTATTAGAAAATTTGGTACTCTTACAAAGCTTGACATTTCCTGCCGAAAAAATACAAGGAAAAAAGATACAAATTTGCAGAACAGTCCTCCCAAGAGAGAGACAGAGAGGGGTCTGGGCTTTGTGACCCATACAAACAAAAAAGAAAGAGAGGGACAATCCCTTCTTACCAGCATGTAATGATACAAGATTGCACCTCCCTTTAGAATAAGCCTTCCCCTGCAAACAATGGTAGAGCCATTACCCCAACAACACATCACAAAAATGCATGGAAACTAAAGAGTGCGTGTCGCGTGCTCTCATGGGAGTACAACCTACACTTACTCCCTCAGGCAAAAGACCTCTAGTTTTTTTATTTAAAATTTTTGGAATCTACATCACAATCATCAGATGAGTATTTCCTAAACACTTGGATCTGAGATCCAAAAATTGGACAGTCTATACTCAATTTAAGGACATCATTTTATTCATATGTATAGAAGTGTTCTATTATTGTTTTCTTTTCTTGTTGAGGATGGCCATTAAGTTGAGGATGTTACATCCCCAAAATTTGAGGCCCAAAAAATCTTCTAGGCAGGGTTTCACCCAAGGGAGTGTATAATCATTTGGCCAAACTGAAATATTTCAAAACGAGAGAGAGAGAGAGAGCGAGAGAGAGAGAGAGAGAGAGAGAGAGAGAGAGAGAGATTCAATGAAGCTGCAAATATGATCTGATTGTCATACTTAGTTCATCTAAAGAAATATTGCTGGCATCTGCAACTGCTTTAATCAACTGTAGTTTACCTGCAACAGCATTCCATGGAGAACCTCGTAAGGACATGCCACACATCATCATCATCCGAACCTTATCCCTTTTATTTGGGGGTCGGTTACATAAACTGATAATAGCTAAAGGAGCAGAACTTTTGCCCCATTCCTATCATGAATAGCCGACCCCAACTGGTTGCGATAAGACGTGGATGATGATGATGAACATAAATTGATAGAAAATCTCATCATATACAAAGCTCAACCCACAATTTGAATCACACCGAATAATAGTGATCAGTAACTACCAAAAGAAATAACGATTAGGAATAACAACAATGGTACTACCACAAGGTCTATGTAGATTACGGCCAAGGAGGATGCACCTAATAGTATTATGGGGTAGTTTGTGTTGCAGCTAGCTATTTTTTGATATGCTGAATCGCAGGGGAGGCCACCTAAGTTTTTTTATAATGTGTGCCTTGAACCTTCTTTATTTTCCTTTTAGAGATGAGCACCTGGCTGTGGGTAACCTTCTTTATTTTTCTTGTAGTGATGGAGCACCTCGCTTGTGGGTCACTAGGTTTATGTGCACCAAAAGGATGTGATGAAATTTTGTATCCAGCTAAAGTTAATTTAGACAAATGCAAATTATATGTTGCCAAAAAAAATTAACAGCTTTCGTATTAATAACAAGAGTAGGGTTCAAGGCCACTGCCCACCCACCTCTATAGAAATGAACCCTTGGCCTGGGTGGTTGGGGCGGTGGAACCACAGCACGATGTCAATGGTTCCATTACCATGTTGAAAAACTTGCAAAAAGAAAAAAGGTGCATCTAGGAATTCACCTTTTGTAGCAAGTCCACCATTACAAAATCCATCTTGGAGATGGATTTTGGATCCAAAATTCTACAGGTATATCAGCTTGAAATCCTCTATCCGAAATTAAAAATAATAACAATAATTTTGAGCCTTAAAAATGGTCCATCACATTTTTTTTTTGAAAAAGTTCATCGGATATACATTGTTTCTGGAGCTCCAAATTCATGGATCTGAGGTGGTAATAGTTTTCTAGTGATCTGGGAGGGGGTCCTAAAACCCTTGAAAACCAAGGCAGACACAGAGTTGGCATATGGATGAGTCTTTCTGAATAATAATTGTTAAGAACAACCATTATCATTTATCATCTACAAGAGAAATTTTGGTAAAACTAGTTATCAGCCAAATTTATCATGAAATGAGCAGCTAACTGATATTTCCATGGTTTTGAATATATTAAGAATATCTGCATATATCTTCAGTTTAAGTATCCCATTGCAACTTGAATTTTTTAATCAGTTTTTATTTCAGCAAAGGAAATGAAAGATTTGTAAACATCAAAGAGAAAAGCTTGGTTCACATACCATCACGCCTCACACAAATTTCTGGAACATTTCTAACTTGTCCATTAATGGTGTCATTGTAAACTCTGGTTTCAATGTCCCCCTCAACAAAAACCGACGCGCTGATAAGAAATACGACAGAAAGATAATTCTAATAAGCACTAATTTGAACAAAGCAAAGGCACGCAAGAAAGTAAATGTTGAAACATAAATAAATGGATCTAAAGGCAGAAGAAAACAAACTTCAATATTTTGATGAAATTACTTCAGCAAACTTAGTCTGGCAACCTTCTAGTGGAAACTCTCCCTTATGGCAGCTAAATGATTTATCATCAAAAAAGAAAAAAACTTAAGGGCAACAACATTGATTGGATTTCTTCCAGTGGTAACACTTAATCAAATGAAGAAGAACAATCTCTATGTGAGTGATAGTATGTATGCTAGTCTCTTTTCTTTATGTCAAATGTCCATTCTAACACATCTTACTCATGGATAAGAAATTCAGTAAAGAAAAAGCAAATTCATACTTCTTAACAAGTTGCTGAACAGCATAAGCTCCAAGCTGCTCGTTATGCACAGCAATTCTGTGCCATTGAGCCGGTCTTGGCAAGTGCTCAGATCCCAAAATCCTCTGGTCAAACATACCACCCGTTCCAACAGTGAATATGGTCACAGTCCGGCCATTTCGTAATATTTTCTGCACTGGAGGCTGCCCAATCTTCCCACAAATGATTGCCTACTAGCAAGACACATATTAATCAATTCTAACAAATCAAAGAAAATCAATGTATGTGCATCTTTTGCCTTTTAAGGAAAAATACTATCCATCCATCAATTGTGTGTGTATGATTTATTAAACTTCATAAGGTAGGCTGGAATATGAAATCCTTCACCGAAAAATTGTAGACACAAAGTAACCTAAAGCCATTGTTCAAAAATCATTTTTGGGTAGTGGTACTTTTCATCAAGAAATACCATGAACCGTTATTATTTACCACGAAAAGGCATTGCATACCACATACATGTAAATACTATTGTCCTCTTGACAGTTCGATCCCCATGAAGAATTTTACCTCTACTGTTCTTTTTGAGTTAACCTATGGTGTATTTTCATCATTGCTGATTATCAAATCACAAGTATGCCACCTGAAACTGATATGTAGTCGAAGGTAGGGGCATTTTTTTTACCCAAAACTTTACGTGAAGGGTTAAATAATTCACAGTAGGATGAACAGGTAAAAGAGCTAATACCTTGTGCACTCCTCTAAAAGCCCAGCCCCTTTTAGGGTCTACACCTTGTGGTTGTAATTCTCCTTTGTTGGGGATAAAATCCTCATCCTTCAAATCTCCATGGCTATTTTCATACTCATCAAATGACATAGTCGAATGCCATAATACTGATCTTCTACATGAGCCTACATCGGCAGAACCAATGAAGGTATTATTCACAATCTTCTGACATTTTCAGAAAAAGAAAAATGACAATTGCTTACATTTTCAGAAACTACTGTGCATAAAGGAGTGTGAAAGTTGAATAATGACAGGAAAAAAATACGGTTATTGGGAAATTTTCTAACAAACAAGAAAAGGGTTCACTTCTCTTGAATGTGAATATATGCAAAACCGTTCAAGCATACATCTCTAGAAGCAATAATATTAATTTGGCATCACGGTGATATACAAAGTAAGCCTAACACTCGAGAAACCAACCATAGTTGTACAATGCTATAAGCTATTAAATTTTCCTGTAGTAGAGCTACAGAAAACAATCCTAACGCTTTTCTTAACTTCAAATAAGAATGAAAGGCTTCTGAATGAAGCATTATCAATTGCATGGCAAAAACCGGAGACAGGTTAATGGTTTTCCAGACAATAATAAGCTAGATCACATGGAATAGATCAAAATGAAAAATACTTGAGAATTTTGGAGGAGCAATCTGAGATTGGATGGTGAATGAATTACTTGAAGGCACAAAGCTAACTGAAGTACTGCATATGCTTAGTTGCATACTTAAATGCCTCCCAATATGTACTAAGACACACTAGTGGCAAACTATGACTAACAATACTACGAAATAGGTACCAACGAAATAAACCATTTCCTCATCCTTTCTTTCAGAGAAGAAAAAGAAAGAACAAGGCATAAGCAAGAATATAGATCTAAAAAACACCAATTAATTCCTTCTTAAGTATTTATCAATTGATCACTTACTTGAAAGACCAACCAAATTGCACTTGAGGCACCAGAACAACCATTTGCATCCCCTAATATTTGTAATAGAAGGTGTATCATAAGCTTTGCATCCCCTAATATTTGTATTCTAAGTAACACTTTGTATGTGCACCCTTTGACAATGATTAAAAAAATTCAAACTCACTATAAAAGCAACCAGTGATTCAAAATTTCATGTCCGACGCAGGGTGTAAAAGGATGGCTGGCAATTCGGGGGCAAAAAACCCCGGACTGCTCAAGTCTACCGATCTTCTATTTTTCATGTTAAACATAACCTAGTCGGATTCATGAACTGCCAGAGTTAAGAGTGAGGGAATCGGAATCAGACCATGCCGAGTTGGTGTGGGATTCCACTCTCAAATGACTGAAAGAAACACTCGACATGCTATCAAAGAACATAGAGCTATATAGACCTTTTACATGTATAACTTGTACGGTTGTACCTGACCAATAGCAGCCCTTTTTTAATATAAATGTTGAGAGAGAGATAGAGAGGGAAGAGGGAGAGAGCGACTAAAAAGGTGATGCAGCTACTCCCCAGCCAAAACCAATGGTTCATGGTTGGGCAAAGAAAGGTCATAGGACCAGGGGGGGCAAAAGGGGGCAAAAGGGGGCAAAAATTGTAATTAAGAAAGTTATTTTGGGTTTTTATTTTTAATTTAGTTGCTATTTCTGATATTGTTAGGTGCAGGGTCGGTCATTTATTTTCAAGTTAATAATAGATGGATACGATTAAATAGAATTAATAGCTAGGATTTCTTAGGAGCTTTTTAGGGTTTTGAGTTTGCTTAAATACTTGTTATTGAAAGGTTTTAGGAGAGATCCCCACAAAATTTGGAGGTGGATTCCCCATGGCTTTACTAATTTTCTTCCTTCTCTACTCCCTTTGCCCTTTAACACTTCTTATTTTATTGAGTTTTTGCAAATTAAAGTGCGGATTTGTAAAGAATCAAATCCTAATTTGCATCAAGTGCTACCAGAGCAAGTTTATGAAGCCTTCAAAAGGACATAAGCCACGAAAAATTAAGCGTGTTGACTCAAGTAGTTCAAGCCCTAGCAGAGAGGGTAGATAACCAACGTAGGAAGTTGGTAAACTTTGGTGTAGAAGGTATCCAGAGACGAATGTTGGAGTTCAAGGCCATGTGATGAAAGAGGCAACTTGCATCTCGTTCCTAACTATCCTCGCACAGCCCCAATCGAAATCTTTGATTTTTGGAAGGGGAAAGGGAACCTAGAATCAAAATTGATATTCCCGAGTTCCATGGCTTACTTCATGTGGATGCTTTTCTTGATTAGTTAAGTGACGTTGAGATAGTATTTGAATATAAGGATATTGCCAATCACAAAAAGGTGAAATTAGTAGCAACTAAATAAATCGGTCATCCTTTGGCATGGTGGGCTGATTTACAACAAGAATGTCTTCAAGAAGGCAAGGAGAAAATTAATTCATGGGAGAAGATGAAGACAAAGTTATGTCAAAAGTTCTTCTTACCAGTGAATTATGCTTGAATCCTTGGCCCCACAAAAATTCGTTGAGATTTCCGATTGAATACAAGGTGTCAAAATCTTAGGCAAAGGGAAAAATCAGCGAGTGAGCACACTAAAGAATGTTATACTTTGATATCTAGGGCAAGTTTACAAGAGTTTTGAGGATCAAAAGATAAGTCGTTACTTGAATGGGCTAAATCAGGATATCTTGAATGTACTGGCTTTCAAATATGTTTAAGGTATTTGATGCCTACACATTGGGCCTCAAGGAAGAGGAACTTATCAATCTAGGCATTGTGAGGAAGGTTTTAGTCCCGAGAGGCTCTACAGTCCTGGGAGGCTCTACTTCTACATCAGGGTAGTAAGTTTTGACCTTTAGAAGACCACCTAAAAGCGTGGGAACCAAGTCTCTAAGCGTTTCCTAACTAGGTAAAACCTTAACTTTGGGGGGAGTACGTGTTGGGAGGGGGGTAATAATACCTAAACACGTTGTGAAGATATCAAATTGTGTGTTTGAGGTGCCAACAACCAGGGCATAGAGCATATAGTTGCCCTTCACATCAACTTGGTATCAAAGTCAATTTGGCAGAAGAAAAATATGGAGTTAAAGTTGCTGAAAATAACCTATGAGGTAGAGGGTGATATTGGGACAAGCCACTCTTATGAAGTGACTGGCTCTCTCATGAGTATCAATGAGAATTAGCACGGAGATGAACGAGGTGAAACCATAGTCGTCCAACAAACCATGCTCTCAACTGCAAGACCATTTGATGAAGAGAAGTGGCTTCAACACAATATTCTTCAAACCACTTCCACATTAGGAAGTCAGTCAGGCACAATATTAAATGATAGTGGGAGTAGTGAAAATATTGTGTCTATGGAGATGGTGAGAAAACATAAATTGAAGGAGCACAAATATCCACGTTCATATCAAATTCAATAGTTCAAAAAAGGAGGTCAGCTACCAATTCTTACTCGATATTTCGTATCGTCTTCTATTGGTGCTAATTATAAAGATGAAGTATGGTGTGATATAGCACCCATAGATGCATGCCACATCTTACTTGGTAGGCTACAACATTTTGATCAGGATATGGTGTATAAGACTAGACCACATACTTATTCCTTTGTCAAGGATAGCATTAACAACAATACACTCCACTCTATGAAGAAACTTCTTACACCCAAATCTACTAAAGAAGCGGATCCAAAATTGCTTCATGTGGAAAATTCGAAGAGGACAACAACAATATGTATGTGATTTATGTGTTGCTAGCAAAAGAAAATTATGTACCTACTTTAATTCCTAAGTCTCTAGAGCCTCTACCTAAGAAGTACAATGACTTGATGCTGGAAGAAATGCCTGATGGATACAGATTGAACATCACATTGATTTAGTGTTTCCAGCCTACCAAATTTTGCCTATTACTGAATGAGCCCCTATGAAACATGAGGAGTTACATAGACAAGTTGTTGATTTTCTTAAAAAGGGTTTGATTCCAAAAAGCATATCACCATATGCCTAACTCTCAAAAAGGATGGTTCATGAAGGAGACGCATGGATGGTCAAGTGATTAAGAAAATTACAATCAAATACCGATTACATACCTAGGCTCGATGACATGTTAGATTTGCTTCATGGGGCCAAAGTTTTCTTAAAGATCAATTTAAAGAGTGGTTACCATCAAATATGGATTCGTCCAAGGGATGAACGGAAGACTGCATTCAAAACTCAACATGGACTCTACGAGCGGTTGATGATGCCATTTGGGCTTTCTAATGCACTAAGCACCTTCATGCACCTAATGACTATGGTATTTCATTCCTTTATTGGTAAATTTGTTGTGGTTTAATTTGATGATATCTTCGTTTTCAGTGCCAACCCAAATGATCATGATCATCTTAACCACTTAGAACAAGTATTTGATGTATTAAATAAGGAATATTTTTTGTGAATTTTTTTTAAAAAAGCTCCTTTATCTAGGACAATGGTATCTTTTTGGGGTATGTCATTTCATCCGAGGGCATCAAGGTGAACCAAGAAAAGGTGAAGGCCATAGCTGAGTGGCATGTGCCAAATTCACTTGTGAAATGTGCTCTTTTCATGACCTAGAGACCTTATTGCGGCTTTATTAGAAATTTAAGCACACTAATGGCACCAATGACCATTTGTATGAGGGACGGAAAGTTTTCATGGAGTCCCGCTACTGATAAGAGCTTCACTTTAATTCAACCTAAGACGATGCAAGCACCAATACCCGCATTACTAGATTTATCCGAGGTGTTCGAAGTTGAAACCGATGCATCAAACGTTGGCATAGGAGCAGTTCTAAGTCAAGAGGAGCGACCAATGCCTTTCTTTAGTGAGAAGTTGAATGATGAACATAAGAAGTATTCGATCTATGACCTTGAGTTTTATGTAGTGGCGCAAGACTTCCACAACTAGAGGCAATACTTGATCCATAGGGAGTTTACTCTATACTCAAATCATGAAGCACTTCGGCACTTGAGTTCTCAAAAGAAGTTAGTCAATGCTTTAAATAGAAGGGTGGCTTTGCATGGGGTTTGAAATGATAAAATACCAATATAAGGATTATCCAATTTACAGCAAGGTCCTAAAAAAATGTGTTGAAGGGCGAGACCCCATGGAAGAGTACCTAACGTATGTTTGTTATTTATTTAAGGGTGTACGTTTATGCATAACGTATGTTTGTTATTTATTTAAGGGAGAAGATAATTATGGAGCTTCGCAATGGAGGCTTAGGTGGACACTTAGGACACAACAAAGCTACGTATGTGAGGGAAGAAACATATTTTTGGCCATGCATGCGAAGGGATGTTGACAGATTTGTGGTTGAATGTTCAATTTGCCGTATTAAAAGGTCACACACAAAATATGGATGTTTGTACTCCCCTCCCTATTCCAGATGCCCCAAGGGTTGATACCTCTATGTACTTCATACTTGCACTCCTGCAAACCATATGAGGTACAGACCCTATATTTGTTGAAGTTGATCGATTTTCCAAAAATTGCACATTCTATTCCTTGTGGGAAAACTAATGGATGTTACGCCAATATCTTATTCAAAGAGATCATGAGGCTACATAGTATCCCCTTGTCCATTACATTTATTGAAATACGAAGTTCTTGAGTCATTTTTGGTGCACTTTGTGGAAGCACTTGGGAACTAAGCTTCAATTTTCTCGCACTAATCACCCTAAAACAAATTAAAAAACTAAGGTGGTGAATAGGAGCCTCGGTAATCTCTTGAGGAGTATTGTTGGTGATAATATATATCAGTGGAACATCGTTTTACCCCAGGTCGAATTTGTTTACAAGAGTTCGGTGAATCTGTCAATGGGAAAATCACCAGTTGAGATTGTTAATGGGAGGACTCTTAATTATGTGCTCGACCTAATGCCATTACTAGTACAAGGCAAGGCAACTGATGATGTTGATACTTTTGTTGAGCATATACGAGACTCAAAGCCCAAATCAAGAAGAAAATTGAAGACAGTAATGCAAAGTATCGAGAAGCTTCAAATGGGCATCAGAGAAAGAAGATTTTCAAAGAATGTGACTTAGTAATTGTGTACTTGCAAAAAGAGAGGTTTCCAATGAGAACCTACAATAAGCTCAAGTCCAAAAAGGTGAGCTCCAACCGAATTTTAAAGAAATATAAGAATAATGCATATGAGGTGGAAGTACCAAAGGCATTAGTTATCTCATCGGTGTTTAATGTTGCAAATTTATTTGAATTTCATGGAGGCCCTTTAGAAGCCCGAGAAGAATTAGTTGTTGGTATGATCAAACAACAACTGATGAAAAAAGGAAGAAGAAATTGAGAAAGTTGAAAGCTTTCAAACTCGAAAGGGTTCATTTAGCCAATATCTAGATTCTAGTCAAATGGAAGGGAAGGCCATATCTCAATAGCATGTGGATTTCTAAGGAAGATTTCAAGAGGGTGGATCCAAATCCAAATCCATATCCCCTATATGCTGAAGACAACTCGTCGGAGTCGAGTTCCTTTCAACTGGGGGTGAATGATGTAGCCATTCCCCAGCCACAACCAATAGTTCGTGGCTAGGCAAAGAAAGGTTGTATGACCATGGGAGCCAAAAGGGGACGACAAACATTGTAATTAAGAAATTTATTTTGGGTTATTTTTCATGTTGTTAGGGGCAGGCTTAGTCATTTATTTTTCAGTTAATAATATATTATTTTTCAGTTATTAATAGATGGCTAGGATTAAATAGAATGAATGGGTAGGATTTCTCATGAGCTTTTTAGGATTTTGAGTTTGCTTCAATGCATGTTACTAAAGGGTTTTAGCAGAGATCCATTATTATTTTCCTAGAGAAATTTTGAGTTAATAAAATTTGTACGTGGATTCCTCGCTGCTTTGCTAATTTTCTTGTTTCTTTTACTCCCTTTCCCCTCAAGTCTTGTTATTTTATTGAGTTTTAATGAATTAAAAGTGCTGGTTAATGAAGAATCAAACCCTAATTTGCATCAAAAGGAAAAATGGAGATGATACATAGTAGAGGAGGATAAATCCCAAATATACAGTTTCATGAAAGCCAAGAAACTACCTAGGGCATAGCTGGTTATAATGGGAACTTTCCTCATTGCAGATGATATCATGACGGATTTATCTCAAAGGAAATTCTGCAAAAAAAGAAAACTGCAATTATAAAAACCTCACATAAAAAATTCAACAAGCAATTGTAAGCTCCAAACGGTAAAAAAAAAAATGCATTTATCATCCAAACTGTGACCTAAAATATACTTATCCAACAATTTTTCCATTTCAAAAGGCAAATAACCTGCAAAAGCTAGCGCTGATTCTCCATTATGAGCTCTTAACCTTCTCTATTACCAAAAGATCCAGAAAAAATCTAAAATAAACTAGAAATGGAAACTTTGAATTCTAATTTCTAACTAAAAGGAAAAACTAAAAAACAAAAACAAATTTGAGTTTTATTATCATAGCTTTCCTAAATCCACACCTTAGAATCAGGAGAACCAAAAGTATTCTGACCCCTAATCTTCAAATGCGCACCACCATATTTCGTAGCAAGAAAAAAGCCCGAAACCCTGACGCTAGGTTGCTCTAAACCCTAAACCCCAGAAGAGAGCAAACACAGAGGCAAAGCCATGAAAAATGAATTGAATTCAGCTAGAAGACAGCCCCCGGCATATAGGCGAATGACAGCAAAGGACACAGTATGCATAGCTTTTACTTTTTGGGGTGCTTTGTGCTCCCTGCGGGAGCAGGTTGTATTATTTCTCCCTCTTGCATTTTCTAGTTTAGGGGGCTTGCTTTAGAATCAAAATGAGTTTTTTCAAGAGAAATAAATCTCACCGTTCAAAAATTGAAATTTCCTTTTTCAATTTTAAGATCTTTGCTTTTTTGGAAATTTACAAGACATTTCAATTTATTTTTAAAATTTAAAATAGTCTCTTATATTTCATGTTTTATGCTTAAGTTGCAATTTTGAGATCGTGTGGTATAATTAATTTTAAAGAAATTATAAAAAATATACCTTGTTTTTTGGTAGATCAATGGGGAATACAAGCCCTTACCCGTTTTTAGGAATAATTAGCAGTTTTCGAATGCGCCAATAGGAATGATAACCTAGATCGGTAACTGAGGCTCAAGTAGTGTTTCTATCACGACCTCAACCCCATTCCCAAAAAAAATATAGTTTAATTTTTGGATTATTAAAAATAAACTTCCAATTTTTTAAGACCTCATCCATGCCATTTTTTTTTACTTTTTACTTTTTTTTTTTACCAAAATAGCATTCACGGTAGTCTTAAGAATCTTGAAGACATCACGGTATGATCATGGGTGGTTTAATATTTTGAGACATCACCGCCCTTAAACAGCCATTGTTAAGAAGCATCATGGCATTTAAAAAGCTGTGATGGTTGTTAAGGCAACACGGCACTCAAAAAAAGCCATGATACTTGGATGAAAGTATAACGGTTAAATTAGAATCGACAGTCCAATAAACCATCATGGTTCTTGAAGTGTTGTGATGCATCAAATTTACACACACGCCAAGACCATCACGGTTTTCACTAGTATGTGATGCCTTCACGACTCTGAGACTACCACGAAGGTTACTCTCATCTTCTCCACCAAAAAAGGAGTATGGAAGTGGCTTTGGAAAGTTTTGGGTTTATTTTCAATAATCTAAAAGTTATGGTATATTTTTTATAACTTCCCTAAAAAAAAATTTGCTATTTTTGTTATTAAATTTTTTTTATATTTTGTATAGATGAGAAGTGTATATGTCCCAAATTTGAGCTCTCATATGTAGAAAAAACTCAGCAAAACAATAGAGTAGAATGTTCATTTACTCCCTCGAATAAAACCTTATTTGGAATTATTTGTAAGGCCTCAAAATTTGGGGATGTACCATCTTCAACCTATAGATTAACTTTAGTTAAAAAAACAAAAATCCAACTTATACCCTCTATGTGAAGGAAAAAAATAATGCCTCGAGATTAGATAGTGACCATCCAATTTTTAAATAGTGAGATATGAGTATTAGATACTCAAATTTTAATATTTTTTTATAGAATAATCATCTAGTAATTCTTAATAGTTCCTAAAATTTCAAATTAAAAAAAACAATCCCTGAGTAGAAGTAAACTACAACCACACACCCTTAAAAGGCGGGGCTTGTATCAACTATGAAACGCAGTGTTCTACCTGTAAGTTTTGAAAATGGAAAATAAATTTTTTCAACTATGAACCGCACTATTCTACCCGTAAGTTTTGAAAATGGAAAATAACTTTTTTGGGATTGTATATGAAGATACCATTTACCTGTTGTACAAAGAGGTCACAATTGCTTAAAACCATCCGATGTGAAATTTGATAGTTTGATGATGTCACACAGTTCGATAATTTTTTTTTAAAACTTTGTGTTTGGTCATTGGAATAAATATAATCACCTAATTTCACATCGGAATGTCAAGATTAATGGTAACCACCTTATACTTATCCATTCCTTTTGTAAGTTTTTTTTTTTTTTTTTTTGAGTAAAACATGCAAGTATAATTATAATTGCTTTAAATTGATGGTTAGGTTGAGGATGTTGCATCCTCTGAATTGAAGGATTACAAGGCGCCCATCAAAGGAAACATATATTCGCGGGATTTTTTTATTTTTAAGATGTGGTTTGGTATGACCAAGAATTACCCGAGTTAGACCCTGTTAAGTTTGAGCCCGATTCCAGTTTTCTAATAAATAGTGCGTCCCATTTGATGGATGATCCAATTGCTTTTAAGACCTCAAAACTTATTTTATTTTTCTTATTATTTTTTTAAAAATTCATAAACCCCAAATCAGACTTTTTGAGGAATTTATCAAAATAAATCTGAAAAACTATTTAACATGTATTTTTTAATTTCAAACCAAAATATACAAATTAGAATAGTTGAAAAAAATAAAGAAAATGTTAAATAGTTGTAAAGGAAGGTATATTTTGTATAAGTTTCTTATTTTATCTATATACTCATGTTGGGGATTTAATTCAAAATAAGGTACCCATGATGAACTGAATTTGACCACCTTAGTAAATTTTTGATGGGTGAGGTTTGTATATGGTGTTCACTTTTACCTCTAAATTTGGGCAAGCTTTATATGCTTCCTCTATAATATCGTAATTCTATCCCCCCTTTATCTAACTGTCTATTCTGAATGGAGGGTTAAGATCATCTCAATCACAATGTCACATCTCTATATTATTTTATTTTTAATTTTTTTTTTATGAACTATTTTGACACCAAATTTTGGGCGTCCATTCCTCTATGAAACTCGCACTAGTGAAAAAAATAAAAAAATATTAAAATAGAATGACCAAAATACCCCTAAAAGTTTTAAAGGGTATTTTGATCATTATATTTTATTGAAAAAATATTTTTAATACTTTTTATAGGTGCGCCCCAATGAAAAGATGACATGTATCAAATTTCATATTCATACAAATTGTATAAAAAAGGCTAAAAATAAAATACTTTGAGACATCGAATCTAAGAACAAACGCTGAGTGACTCTCTTGATCAAAATTGGACTGCTAGATGATAGGAGGGGGATAGAACTTCTATGTTGTAGGGAAAGCATATAAACCTTTCCCATTTTGTCAAAAAATGTAGTTTCAATGTTGGAAACTCTACAATAGCTTGAAACTTTATTCATCCTTGATTATAAAAGGAAAATTGTCTCATACGGGCTGGACCGTATAACTACATATGCGGTCAAAAAAATGTGAAGCATCCATCTTAAAGATGGATGCAAGTAGGTGTTCCATTTAAAAACAAAGGAATCTACCGATCCAAATGTTTTCTTACTAGAATTATTATTTCTTATTTTTAATATTTATTTATTTATTCGTATTCATGATCTCCATGTTAGAAATTATGTCCTTAAAAACTCAGTCAAAAAATCCATCTAAAAAATACATTTATTAGTAGACGTGGATTTCTACATATACAAGCTTGGCCACATAGAATCTAGTTCCATTATAAAATTTAAGATCCCAAAAACAATGTTCGTCTAGCATATCTATAAATACCTAAAAATCTTAAAAAAAAAAAAAAAGCTGTTCAAACAACTTTTTACAAAATGCACGATTGGACTTTAAATTATTTTTCGTCTTTATATCCATGCATTCTGAAGTTCAATTGGGAAGTTCTCCAATTTAGAATATTTTTTTCTACTTAATTTTCGACGAGGTGCTACTTACTTCAATAGTATAACGTTGCAGCCTTACACAGACTTCCTCCAACAATTCAACTTGACCTGCTTTATTTATTTATTTATCGTAGAAATTCTGATGTACAAATCTGAAACAGTGAATAATTTTTACTTCTCTCTCTCTGTAAACACGAGAGAGGGTCAGAGGGGGGAGATTCCACATTTTTATACAGAGAGAGAGAGGGTCAGAGGGGGAAGATTCCACATTTTTATAGAGAGAGAGAGAGGGAGAGAGAGTGCTATACGTGCCTGATGCAGAGAGATCGCTCCCTGATGCGAACAACTGATGCTTTGATGCAGAGAGAGATCGATCCCTGATGCGAACAACTGATGCTTTTTGTACATAAGCCTCTTACAATCACATCCCCATAGTCTAAATGACACTTGTTCTTTGGGTAAATTTCCAGATGCTTGTGAGCATGTTTTATCTAGACATCATAGAGATTTTGAAAAGTTACCTGAGAAAAAAGCATGAATATGAACACAATCAGGAAACCATATTACCAATTCAGTCGTCTCATCGATTTCACCGCCACCACTCTCATCAATTCTTGTAACACCATGAGAGAGATATTGCAGGTCCATGGCCAAATGGTCACAAGGGGCGAAACCGGTGACCCGAATAACCTTGGCCGCATCGTTTATTTATTCATCGAATCGAAGTTCAGAAACTTAGGCTATGCCGAATTGCTTTTTTATCATTCCGATAATCTCAACACCTTCATATGGAACACCATGATAAAAGGTTACACAGCAGAGCATTTACCTGAAAGAGCTTTCTCTCTCTACTCTCTCATGCTCCAAAAGTCATTCAAACCAGATAACTATACGTACCCATTTCTCCTCAAAGCCTGCATGGGCTTTTCCCAGTTCAGGACAGGCAAACAAGTACATGGGCAGGTTGTGAAGAATGGCTTAGAGAGAGAAACCTTTGTCACTAACAATCTGATTTATATGTATGCTAGTTCTAGACAGATGGAATGTGCACAGAGATTGTTTGATGAAAGCCATAATAGTTCGGATCCACCTATGTGGAATTCACTCATTAGTGGGTATCTTGAAAATGGATTTGTTGAAATTGCAATGTGGCTGTTTGGTGAGATGCCTGATAAAAATTTGGTTTCTTGGAGCATTATGATCAGTGGGTTTGAGCGCATGGGTCTTCATGGAGAGGCAATGAGGTTTTTCAGTGACATGATTGTTAAAAGAGAAGAGATTGATGGGGTTTTAATGGCAATTGTGGTTTCAGCCTGTGCGAATTCAGGTTTGCTAGAAGAAGGTAAGAGACTCCATTGTTATGCCATAAAGAAGCTCCCTCTGCAAAAAGATGAGTTCTTGCTGAATGGCTTTGTCAACATGTATGCGAAATGTGGGTGCATGGAGAATGCATGCCTTCTGTTTGATAGGCTCCCTCGAAGAGATTTAATCACATGGAATGCTATGATCCACGGCTATTTAAGGCACCGCCTCATATCGAATGCATATGAACTCTTCACAGAGATGCCCCAAAGAGATGTTGTGTCATGGTCCACAATGATATCGGGTTATTCGCAGAGTGGGTTTCACACTGATGCCTTGAAACTGTACTTAGACATGAGAATTGTGGGGTTTGAAGTGAATGAAATCACAATTGTTAGTGTGCTTTCTTCTTGCACTAAGTTACAAGAATTCAAAGAAGGGGAAAAGGTCCATGCCCACATGATTAAGAGTGGATTGAAGGGTCTGGACACTAAACTCAAAAATGGGTTGGTCTATTTGTATGCAGGGTGTCGAAGAATGGACTCTGCATTGGAGCTTTTCCGAGAATCCGATCAAGATGTGGTGGCTTGGTGTGCTCTGATTGTGGGTTTTGCAAGGTCTGGTTTTGTCGACTTTTCTCGCCGACTCTTTGATAAAATGCCTCATAGAGATGCCATTGCTTGGGGTACCATGATATCGAGTTACACTAATTGTGAACGGCTCAATGAAGCCTTAAATCTCTTCAAAGAGTTGGAATGCTCACAAATCGAGCCTGAGGAGGCATCCATGGTGAGCTTATGCACTGCTTGTGCTCGGTTGGCCAGTCTAGAACAAGCGACAAAGGTTCACAATTACATCAAAAAGACAAAGATCTCACCGAGTAGCAATCTTTCCACTGCCTTAATAGATATGTATGTTAAGTGTGGGAACATAGAATATGCTCTAAAGCTCTTTCAATCGCTAAATGACAATAAGAATGTGTCTATATGGAACGCTATGATAGGGGGGCTCGCAATGAATGGTCGTAGTAAAGAAGCCTTGGGGCTTTTCTCAGAGATGGAAAGAACCAATATCAAGCCTGATGAGATTACATTTGTAGGAGTTCTAAGTGCATGTCGGCATGGTGGGCTCATAGATGAGGCATGGCATATTTATGATAAAATGAATAGGGTCTATGGAATCGAGCCTGGGGTTGAGCACTATGGGTGCATGGTGGACCTCATAAGTCGACTTGGGCGCTTATCAGAGGCTGAGGATCTGACAGCAAAGATGACCATGAGGCCCCAGGTTTCAACTTGGGGTGCATTATTGGCTGCTTGTAAAATTCATGGAGATGTGAAATTAGGGGAGAGAGTAGCTAAGCACCTTTTAAAGCTTGATCCGAACCATGTTGGATGCAGAGTGATGCTTTCCAATCTCTATGCAGAGGCAGGCTTTTGGGACAAGGTAGCTGAAGTGAGAAGAGGAATGAAGAGTCTTTCAAAGACCCCAGGGTGGAGCTTGATTGAGGTTGAATAAGAAGCTTCTTTGTTGAAGCCCCAAAGTTGATGGTGGATTCATAGTAATCTGTGCACTTTAATGTCAACATGTATGCGAAATGTGGGTGCATGGAGAATGCATGCCTTCTGTTTGATAGGCTCCCTCGAAGAGATTTAATCGCATGGAATGCTATGATCCACGGCTATTTAAGGCACCGCCTCATATCGAATGCATATGAACTCTTCACAGAGATGCCCCAAAGAGATGTTGTGTCATGGTCCACAATGATATCGGGTTATTCGCAGAGTGGGTTTCACACTGATGCGTTGAAACTGTACTTAGACATGAGAATTGTGGGGGTTGAAGTGAATGAAATCACAATTGTTAGTGTGCTTTCTTCTTGCACTAAGTTGCAAGAATTCAATGAAGGGGAAAAGGTCCATGCCCACATGATTAAGAGTGGATTGAAGGGTCTGAACGCTAAGCTTAAAAATGGGTTGGTCTATTTGTATGCAGGGTGTCGAAGAATGGACTCTGCATTGCAGCTTTTCAGAGAATCCGATCAAGATGTGGTGGCTTGGTGTGCTCTGATTGTGGGTTTTGCAAGGTCTGGTTTTGTCGACTTTTCTCGCCGGCTCTTTGATAAAATGCCTCATAGAGATGCCATTGCTTGGGGTACCATGATATCGAGTTACACTAATTGTGAACGGCTCAATGAAGCCTTAAATCTCTTCAAAGAGTTGGAATGCTCACAAAAATCGAGCCTGAGGAGGCATCCATGGTGAGCTTATGCACTGCTTGTGCTCGGTTGGCCAGTCTAGAACAAGCGACAAAGGTTCACAATTACATCAAAAAGACAAAGATCTCACCGAGTAGCAATCTTTCCACTGCCTTAATAGATATGTATGTTAAGTGTGGGAACATAGAATATACTCTAAAGCTCTTTCAATCGCTAAATGACAATAAGAATGTGTCTATATGGAACGCTATGACAGGGGGGCTCACCATGAATGGTCGTAGTAAAGAAGCCTTGGGGCTTTTTTCAGAGATGGAAAGAACCAATATCAAGCCTGATGAGATTACATTTGTAGGAGTTCTAAGTGCATGTCGGCATGGTGGGCTCATAGATGAGGCATGGCATATTTATGATAAAATGAATAGGGTCTATGGAATCGAGCCTGGGGTTGAGCACTATGGATGCACGGTGGACCTCATAAGTCGACTTGGGCGCTTATCAGAGGCTGAGGATATGACAGCAAAGATGACCATGAGGCCCCAAGTTTCAACTTGGAGTGCATTATTGGCTGCTTGTAAAATTCATGGAGATGTGAAATTAGGGGAGAGAGTAGCTAAGCACCTTTTAAAGCTTGATCCGAACCATGTTGGATGCAGAGTGATGCTTTCCAATCTCTATGCAGAGGCAGGCTTTTGGGACAAGGTAGCTGAAGTGAGAAGAGGAATGAAGAGTCTTTCAAAGACCCCAGGGTGGAGCTTGATTGAGGTTGAATGAGAAGCTTCTTTGTTGAAGCCCCAAAGTTGATGGTGGATTCATAGTAATCTGTGCACTTTAATGTCAACATGTATGCGAAATGTGGGTGCATGGAGAATGCATGCCTTCTGTTTGATAGGCTCCCTCGAAGAGATTTAATCGCATGGAATGCTATGATCCACGGCTATTTAAGGCACCGCCTCATATCAAATGCATATGAACTCTTCACAGAGATGCCCCAAAGAGATGTGTCATGGTTTACAATGATATCGGGTTATTCGCAGAGTGGGTTTCACACTGATGCGTTGAAACTGTACTTAGACATGAGAATTGTGGGGGTTGAAGTGAATGAAATCACAATTGTTAGTGTGCTTTCTTCTCGCCCTAAGTTGCAAGAATTCAAAGAAGGGGAAAAGGTCCATGCCCACATGATTAAGAGTGGATTGAAAGGTCTGGACGCTAAGCTCAAAAATGGTGTGGTCTATTTGTATGCAGGGTGTCGAAGAATGGACTGTGCATTGGAGCTTTTCCGAGAACCCGATCAAGATGTGGTGGCTTGGTGTGCTCTGATTGTGGGTTTTGCAAGGTCTGGTTTTGTCGACTTTTCTCGCCGGCTCTTTGATAAAATGCCTCATAGAGATGCCATTGCTTGGGGTACCATGATATCGAGTTACACTAATGGTGAACGGCTCAATGAAGCCTTAAATCTCTTCAAAGAGTTGGAATGCTCACAAATCGAGCCTGAGGAGGCATCCATGGTGAGCTTATGCACTGCTTGTGCTCGGTTGGCCAGTCTAGAACAAGCGACAAAGGTTCACAATTACATCAAAAAGACAAAGATCTCACCGAGTAGCAATCCTTCCACTGCCTTAATAGATATGTATGTTAAGTGTGGGAACATAGAATATGCTCTAAAGCTCTTTCAATCGCTAAATGACAATAAGAATGTGTCTATATGGAACGCTATGATAGGGGGGCTCGCAATGAATGGTCGTAGTAAAGAAGCCTTGGGGCTTTTCTCAGAGATGGAAAGAACCAATATCAAGCCTGATGAGATTACATTTGTAGGAGTTCTAAGTGCATGTCGGCATGGTGGGCTCATAGATGAGGCATGGCATATTTATGATAAAATGAATAGGGTCTACGGAATCGAGCCTGGGTTTGAGCACTATGGGTGCATGGTGGACCTCATAAGTCGACTTGGGCGCTTATCAGAGGCTGAGGATCTGACAGCAAAGATGACCATAAGGCCCCAAGTTTCAACTTGGGGTGCATTATTGGCTGCTTGTAAAATTCATGGAGATGTGAAATTAGGGGAGAGAGTACCTAAGCACCTTTTAAAGCTTGATCTGAACCATGTTGGATGCAAAGTGATGCTTTCCAATCTCTTTGCAGAGGCAGGCTTTTGGGACAAGGTAGCTGAAGTGAGAAGAGGAATGAAGAGTCTTTCAACGACCCCAGGGTGGAGCTTGATTGAGGTTGAATGAGAAGCTTCTGTGTTGAAGCCCCAAAGTTGATGGTGGATTCATAGTAATCTGTGCACTTCAACGTCAACTTTTCCAAAAAAAACAAAAAAGAAAAGAACAAGAAGAACAATCTTTGCAACTGTAAATAATACATGGTTTGAATCTCATATTGTGTAGCACAGGGACACAAAATTTAAAATTTGGTTCCCAAAATACTTTGACTTCAAGTATACACCAGCCAACTGAAAGGCTTATAATTATGCACCTGCACTCTCAACACTCATTACATGAGATGATCAAGTATACATATCAAAACAGGGAAGCTCATCACACTTTTCTATATGTTACTTCCCATTTCCAATAAACAACCCTCTCTATTCTTTGGCATCATCACAAAAACTTGAACAGGGACTAAGATAAGAGACGCACAATAGCTACAACAGACTATAAGAACACACCTCGAATATATTGAACGGAACTCCAATATATAATGTAAAGGCATATTTCAATGGGGCCGTTAACGTCCATGGCCATTGATGGTGATGGGGAGGCTGGGAACCACCAGAGCAGGACATGACACCATGACCGTCCACCTTTTCATTCCATGGTGATGACCCCAGTGAACTATAGATCTACATATGCAGTGGACTTTCCATGTTAACACATGGGGCTACCAGCAATTTTTTGAAACTTAAGATGGAGAGATTGTATCTACTTCTTGTTTTTTATCATCCTTCTTCAACAACTGAATCCCCTCCACAGAGACATTAGCCTGTGCCCGTCGACTGCAGCTTGCTGCCCCTGCAACAGAGCCTTCCCTACTGTTCCCTTTGGAAGGCTTGATTTTTCTGTTCTTTACCTTCTGAGCCCAACCAAGCAGGCCTTGTTGCACATGCTCATCGAATATTGCCTTCTTGAATGTGGTGCCCATCTTCAAAAATAGCAAATATTCATGTCAGAAATAACTCCTGCCAAGTAACATTACTCATGAATTCAAGAGTCAATCAGTGGCTCACCTGGGTAACAATTGCATAGAGAGGAAGTGTGCTATAACTGCACACAACTTGTATTATCACCCTGTGAGCATCCAATCTTGAGTTAGTGGCAGAGACATACAACGAGAGAGAGAGAGTGAGAGAGAGAGAGAGGGTATATCATAGAATAAGAGATTGAGTAAAAATATGGAAGGGATCGAGAATAATACTACAAATCAAAGGTGCTAGGGAGAGTATTGGCTTTACATATGACATGTAAGAAAGAGAGAGAGAGAGAGAGAGTACCCAATTATAAGTCGGGGAATGATATAGCGCACTTGTCCCATGATGCAGGAATCCCAGCCAAAAGTAGTCTATCCTCAACAAGAAATCCATTATCAGTCATACAAGCTTATGCTCACATGTGTGCAATTGTAAGGTTCTCATAGTGACTCTTACCAGTATCCAGAAGAAGAATGCAATCTCAAAGGCATTTTGAAAGAGGATGAAATGGATCAAGTATAGGACAATTCGGGGACGATGAAACCAGAAATGATCATCCGATGGCCGAACTACTAAATCTCCTTCAATGGCCGTGTGTTTTTCTGCAACTTCCTGAGCCAACTGAGTTATAATATGCTCAAGCTTCGTGCCAACAGCGAGTAGAAGCTGCATAATGAATTGAATCCGTACGTCATATCCAAAAACTCATGAATCAAAGAAACTTACAAGGAAAACTCAACATACACACTCCTACATTCATGCATGAAGATACATGTAAATAAATTGCATGTTGCATGGATTTATGCATGCACATAGCATGTATGTTATGCACATGCTCAGCCATGCGACAAGAATTATGCTTCAACTACTTCATCCACATCATGTGAATGCAAGAGCATGTCATACACACATGTTTGTGTATGCATCAGGGAGGTATGTTATGAGATTCAACTAATTTTTTCCCTAAAATATGCGCTAAGGAGAACAAAGGCACAATGAATAGAGACAAAAAGAAGTGCAGAATCACAATAAGCTTCATCGTGCAGAGGCATTGCATTCAAGAGGAGTTTATAAGGAAAACAAAAATCGGGGAAAAAGGAGACACATCCAGAGGGGATATCTGAAGTTCTGTACACACATCTGATCAACTGCCTGCTCTAACAATATAAGATAATTAGGATAGTTCATTTATACTTACAAATAAGGGAATAAAGGCAATCCAGAAATATGTGTGCCATCCTGCATCAACAAGATTATTAGTGAAAGATGAAATCCCATCAACTTATAGTCTAAAGGGAAGCAGATTACAAAAACATGGACAACAGAAAAGCCATAGGCCCATGCCCAATGAAATGTCGAACAGTGCTGGAGAGTATACAGGTATTAGGGCGATGTTGTGTTGCACTGGATCTCATTCTCCATTACTGACCATCATTTGAATGGATGGTGATAACCCCCATAGGCTGTGGTTTTCCAATAGTTCATTGGATTGTAGTATACTTTCGCTCTTTAGTATTATTTAATAACATGGAAACAAAGATCTCTCATATAAAAATAACAGATTAAGATGCTTGCAAGACAAGCATACCATCAACATTCAGCAATAGGAAGAGAACCACAAAAATCCAGAGGTACCAACTGCAACATAGGCACAATGTAAGCGAAGAAACACAAACAAGGGAAGCTCAGTACCAAAAAGATCGAATGGAATAGAAATTAGGTAAAAAATCAAAATTAATCACTCAAAAACTTCAACCACAATCAAATCCTTCCAAGATTACCTTATACCAACAACTTTCTTAAAATCCGCTTCAAGTGCCCGTATCATGTACTTGTGAAAATCAAATTTTGGGTTCGACTTGCAATGAGTCTGTGCAGATACAGCAAGGATAATTAGCAAGCTAAGAAAATAAAGCACCTTGGCACGAAGCTCCCAATCATGCAAGACAACTATATGGATACGATGTAACACAGAAACTAAAGCTTACCATAATGAAACCGAGTCGTAAAGTAATGTAATCTGATCTCGTCACAGCAGGATAAAATTGTTTGATGAAAGACATCTGAGTCAAACATAAGGAAGTATGATGTTACAACAAGAACATAGAAGTTTGAATTGAACATAGGGAATATGGACAGAATGAAAGAAACAAGAAATGGAAAAGAAGTTTGTTACTCACTAAAATAAATGAAGAAATAATTTCTGACTACTAGTCATATAATGTACATTCTTTTACACTTCATTTAATACAAAAATCACTTTATCAAAAGAGAAATAAATGACCAAACCTCATTAGTCAATGAGGAACAATTACGTGGGTAGTAAATGCAAATAAATAAAAAAAGCTGTTTCATTTTTAAATTTTTATATTTTTCTAAGATTTATAAAATATATTATTTGGATTTTTAGTTTCTTGAGGGTTATTCATCTTTTTTAGTTGTAGAGATTTATAGGGTAGAATTGGACCTTTATTTTCTTTCGAAAAGATGGATATGGACAAGGACTAGTATGGTTGGGTCAGTTAGGATATGTTAGACTTTTTTTTTTAAGAAATAAGGGAGAGATAGAGTTTAGTTGTCTATATTTATTTTATATTTATTTATTATTCCTTTTAGTTTGTATTTAAAAGGAAGATATCTCTTGTTTGTAAGGAGAGTGATTGGAGAATAAAGAAAGAGTTTCAAAAAATCCTCAGGTAGACTCTCTTACAGACCCAAAGAGAGGGTATAATCTCTCAAACCTTTATTTTCATTTTTATTTTTTTACTTTATTATTTTTCTCCCTGAATCAGTCCACTTGCGATCTCTACTAATTAAAACCAACTGTTGATCAAATTATGGAGCGCATAGATCAAATATTTGAGCGATAAGATAAAAAATTTGAGAGACTCAAAAAAGGCTTGATAGAACGTATCATCAAAGTAATACAACAAAGCCTACAAGATCTATTTAGTAGATTGTAGTAGAAGGAACATGAATATGAAGAGGTCGATCTCGATGCATGTTGATAACCCAAATGTGCAAGAAATTTTAAATCAATTATGAAGAAGAAGATATGTATGATGCAACATTTGAAATCCAACCGTGTGGATCTAAATGAGAAATTAAGATTAAGCTTGAGATCCCAGTGTTGTACTGCATATCAACTTTTGAGAAAGCCTCTAAAGATTTAAGTTCAACAAGCTCGATGTCAAGCTTCTCCCAACCCCGGGAGAATGTTGCAACTAAAAAAATGATTTTTATTTTTAAAATTTTTACATTTCTTTAGGACTTAGAAAATATATTATTTGGATTTTTAGTTTCTTTAGGGTTATTCTTGTCTTTTTCAGTTGTAGAGATTTATGGGGTAGAATTGGAAGTCTAGCTTTTTAAAAAAAGATGGATATGGATATGGATAGGGATTATTATCCATAATAAAAGTATTATAAATAAAAATAAAATA